TAGCTGTGTTTTTATAATCCTTATCCAAACTGTAGACTAGGGAAGAGATAAATGCATAGGAACTTTTAAATTTTAAGTGACAGAACATACAGTAACGATTATCAAGGCTTAGACACAGATAAAATTGCCCCCCTCCTAGGCATGTGGAGCAAGGACCACACAGATTAGGGACACTGGAGGAACCACCTGCATGTCCACTGACTTTAAGCCCATGCTGTCCTTGTATGTTTCCTGCAAGGGGGTTTTCAATTATTTCAATGCTCGGATGCTCAGACTAAGCAGGCCTGGGAACTGTGGGGCTTTGCTCTTAACCACTCAACAGTATCTTCAGTACAAGCCAAGGGCCCTAAGGAGCTGAGAGCTGGCAGCCATTGCAAACTGCCTTCTGGATGTTCATTTGTGTGAAAGGTTCCTGGGCCTGAACCTGATCCCCAAGCAGGTGTCAACCTTTCAGTGAGAAGGTTCCAAGTTCTCTCTACTACGTGGAGCCACCTCTTTGTGTCTGGAACACAACAGAAGGAAAAGAAAACAGTTTGGGCTGAGCGAAGTGTAGTTGGAGGCAGTGGTGTTGGCCCAAACTCTAAGCTGCCACTGCTGGATGAGGGGAACTGAGAGGAAGAAACGGAGACTCAACTTCAGGCTTGTGTCCCTATTTCAGAGAGCCCCTGACAGAAGCCATTTATTAGGCTTGTAATCTCAACTTTTGGGAAGAAGGGTGACACTCTCAAGTTCTCAGACAAGGAGTAGCTGCCAGACCTGTGGTGACAGGACCCCAGGACTCATATGTCCCTGAAACATGTGGCACTGTGGTTTAGAAAGAAGGCAATATGCTTCTTCTCGGCAGCCACCCATCCCTCACCCCAAGATGCTGTTGGGGGGTCAGACTCTTGGGTTTCATATTCTCCTTGTTGTAGCCTGTCCTGTGATGCTAATGGTCAGAAGCCAGAGCACTCCAGATGGATGTAATAAACCAGTTGCAAGAATCTTAAGGCACTACAGGTGTAGTCTATTATGGCCCAGGCACAGAAGGGGCCTGGACCATACAGTGGACAACAGTGCTTAAGCATGAGATGCCCTACCCTGTCCCCCTCAACTTGGCACCCCAACCAACAGCGCCAGTTCCAACTGAAGTTGGTCTCTGTTGAGGGAAGTCACCCAGCCCCACAGACCAGGAACTGGCTTTCTCAGAATGCCTGGCTGATAAGGGCTTTGTGCCTCTTGAAACAGGTCATAAAAGCATGGGTTGGCTTCTGTATGCATCTCCTGTGGTTGCCTAAGGCAGGACCAAGACTTCAGGAAAGTCTATGAAGATTCCTGTTTGGTTTCCTTAGCCCTCCAGGTGGAGGCACACTGGGACACCTTGGCCCCGCCCTGGCCTCTGCAATTAGCACTAATAGGGATTGATTAATTACGTCCGGGGCTCAAAGTCCTACTGGCCACAGTTACCCAGCCTGCCACTTGTGTCCCCCACATGTCCCTGGCAGGGGCCCTAGTGGCCCTACTGTGAGGATGAGGAAGGGACACCTGTGGTCCTGCTGTGGTTGCAGTTTCAGTGTCCAGGCTGGTGGGAGGGTCCCAGAAGTCTCCTGTCTTCAGAACTGGAGTAGAGGTCCCTGGAGACCCGGTGAGCCCAGGAGCAAAAGTGTGGGAGGGTGTGGACTCTCAGGAATCCCCCTAGCCCTCAGAGGGGATTAGGGAAGGGAAGCAGGCTGGATAGCCCCTAGAGCCAAAGTAGGAGTCAGGAGGAACAGGGGCTTGAGGGTGGGCACCAGTGGGTCCCAGGAGGACTGGCTACCTTCAAAGGAATCAGGAGGGAAACTGATGGCCATGCAGCCTTCAGAACCAGAACTGGGTGGCAAGGCTCCAGGTCCCTCCAGCCCAGAGAGAAAGGGGGTAGATTGTGTATGGAGAGGAGCCTTGGAGGCCAGACAGCTTAACTGGAGGTGTGAATGGAATACAGGCCGGAAAGGCCGGCAGCCTGGGAAGGGTGTGGGTGGAAGGGAAGGGTGCTCTTCCCCTTACCCAGCACAAGTTGGTAGGAGGCCACACTGCTATCACGGCAGCCATGGCCTCATGCAATCGGGGTGATTAGAGGTGGGAGGGAGGCCAGTTGGTGGCAAGCTCTAACTCTGACTAGGACCTCAAGGGGCCAAGCCTTCATTCCCCTCTCCTTAAGCCCATGTACCCAGCACCAAGTCACCCACCACACTGGTGCTGAGCCAGAGGCATGAAGCATGGACTTGCTGTATGCTTCTGAATGCATTCTGTTGCCAGAGGAAATGCGAATAAGCTTATTCACAGCTGGCACACACCCTCCCCTCTGGCTCAGGGGGTACCTGTGTGGCCTCACCTCCTCACTCTGGGGCAGCTGTGGGTGAATCCTCTTCTGAAGCAAGGTGGCTTGAGTATGACCTTTAAGAAAATAAGTTGTCAGCCACAGTGTGATGATGTAAAACCGGTATCTTAGAAAACCATTGGTTTTATTCAAGAAGTCTGTTTGATCCCATTTCTAGCTCCATTTTAAAGCCTCTGTGTTATCACTTCCCTGTGAATGACTCCCAAGTGTGTTCCTACTATGGCCTGCTCTGTGAAGGAGTGTCACTGATTAAGATTGTGGGTGTACCTGCAGGCTCCTGACCGTGCACTTCCGCTGTCTGGTGTTCTGGGAGACAGCCAATAGGCACTGGGGCCAGTGCAGTGTCCTTTAGTGACTCACGGGTGCTCTCTGGAGCTAGTTGCCTTTAGCCCTAAGTAGGACTATATTCCTGGGAGGCAAGCGGCTACCCCGGGCTCCCTTCAGTGAGTGGGAACAGAAGTGTTGTTTATTGGTTTTTTTGTTTTGTTTTGTTTTTTGGTTTTTGGTTTTGTTTTTTTGTTTTTTAGCTCTGTGTAGCTTTGGAGCCTTTCCTGGAACTAACTCTGTAGCCCAGGCTGGCCTCGAACTCACAGAGATCCGCCTCCCGAGTGCTGGGATTACAGGCATGCTCCGCCATTGTTCATTGTTTATGGCAGGAAAGTCACCCCCTCTGTCCCTGTGCTTAGACAAGTTTGTCTTCTCTTAAAATGTTCTTCTTTCTGCCCTTCCTTCTGTCCCGTACCCTTCCAACAATGCAGAAGGCTAGCCCAGGGCAGCTGATGGGCCTGCGCCAGGCCTCCCCAGAGCAGCAGGTGTCTCTGGGGCATTTCTTCAATCCCCAGGCAGTCCTAACAACAGAACAGAGTCCCGAGCTCCCAGCTGCTGCAGTAGGCAGTGAGTTACCCTGAGAGAGAAACGGTGTCATGTGTCTGACACTATTAATAAAGGAGATACTTTTCTGAGCGTCTGTGCTCCTGGGAGGCCCAGGCCCCACACAAGGGGCTGGGCCTCTAGAGTCTTTGAGGCAGAGTCTGGGGAAAGTCAGGGAAGACACACACATCCCAAATCACCCAAGCCTGCCATGCTCCGATAGCTTAGTCTCCCGAATGGAACAGTCTTCTTCATCTCACCCAGAAAACCAAGCATGACTTCGGCTTTGGGGGAGACATGATAGCCAGCTACAACCGACGTGGTTCAGATCATACTGCTGAACTGGACACACCAAATGTAGCCATCTCAGCCCCAGGGCTCCCTCCCTCCAGACATAGAACTACGCCCCCCCACCCCCAGACTCCAAACCCCCGTCGCATGCAGCTCCTGGCAGGCACTCCCTCTGTCCTAGCCCCGGCTTTCCTGGCTCACAGCTGCCACACTGGTGTAAAAGTCACAGCCTGGCAACATCCTCACCCACAGGGCCTGTGCCCAGCTGGAAAGCACCTTCACAAGCACCCAACACTCTGAACCCTCAGGTCCCCCTACTGCCGTGTGTCTTATGCTCACATTGACAAAGGAGGTTTGAGAATAGACTGGAGTTCCCAATGGGAAGTCACTGTAATCTGGGATATTTCCTAGGATACCCCTGGTCGCGAGGTCATGACACTGAGGATCACCTATCCTTTCTTTAAAAAAAAAAAAAAAATATTTATTTTATTCATACGAGTGCTTTGCCTGCATGCATGTCTGCACACCAGATGCATTCCAGGTGCCTGAGGAAGTGGTAAGCCTCCGTGTGGGTGCTGGGAACCGAACCCAGGTCCTTCACAAGAACAAATGCTCTTAACCACTGAGCCAACTCTCTGGCTCTCACCTATCCTTTCTGTCAGAGCAGAATGGAACAAATTAAAATGGACTCAGTTCCTTTCCTTTCTTCATATGCTACAAAAGTTCTGGAGACCTTCACAGTTGGATCTGGCCAGTGAGAAGGCTCAGCAGGCCCTTGCCACCAAGTCTGAGGACCTGAGTTAAATCCTTAAGACCCACATGGTTGGGGGAATAACTGATTCCATAAGTTGTCCTGTGATCTCCACATATTGCCCCCAATATACACAAAAATAAATAAATATAATAAAATTTGTTTTAATTAAAAAATAAACAATTTGGGAGCTCGGGGAGACAGCTCAGCAGTTAAGAGTACTTGCTTTTCTAGACCAGTGGTTCTCAACCTTCCTAATGCTGTGACCCTTTAATACAGCTCCTCATGTTATGGTGAGCACCAGCCATAAAATTATTTTTGTGGCTACTTCATAACTGTTTTGCTAGTTATGAATTCTAAATATCCAGTATGCAGGCTATCTGACATGTGACTCCTGTGAAAGGTCCTTCAATCCAAAGGGGTCTCGACCTGTGGGAACCACTGTTCTAGCGGTTTCCCAGCACCCACCTGGCAGCTTGTAATTCCAGTTCCAAGGGATCCAATTCCCTCTTCTGGCTTACTCGGGCACTGCATGCGTACATTGTCTATCCATGCTGGCAAAACACTCATTCACATAAAATAAACATCTTTTTAAAAAATTAGGTCACGTGGAACCCTCAGGCCAGCCCCCTCTATGGGTAGCACTACAGCGGTGGGGTAGGGGCTCTGTGGGTGCCTCTGCGGTGACAACACTTCAGTGTTCACTTACTGTCTTTACTCTCTCTCTCCTAGATTTACTATAAAGTCATTAAGGACATTGAACCTGGAGAAGAGCTGTTGGCCCATGTGAAAGAGGGCGCCTACTCCCTGGGTGTCATGGCACCCAGCCTGGATGGTAAGACCCTGCAGAGCTGTGGCCCCGAGTCCCCACCCACCTGGGAGAACGTGAGTGGTGTCTCACTCCTGTGTGCCACCTGGTATCGCTAGCTGATGCCCTGACTGAGCTTCTGCAGACCCCAGGCATATTACTCGGGTCTCTGTCACTGTGATAAAGACTGTGACCAAAAGCAGCATGTGGAAGAAGGTCTGATTTGGCATATAGATCCCAAGTTACAGCCCACTGACAGAAGCTGAGGCAGGAACTAAAGGCAGGAACCTGGAAGCGGAGGCCATGGAGGAGTGCTGCTTACTGGCTTGTTCCCCATGGCTTGCTCAGCCTGTTTTCTGATACAATCCAGATCACCTCTTCAGCGTTAGTCCCACCCATGGTGGGCTGGGCCCTAAAGCCTCCCACATCAATCATTAATTTAAAAAAGGCTCCGCAGGTTTGCCTAGGGGCCAGTCTGATGGAGACATTTTCTCAGCTGAGGTTCCCTCTTCCCAGATGACTCTATCCTGTATAAAGTTGACCAAAAATAAATAAATAAATAAATAAATAAAGCCGACCAGCACAACAGGCTACCAGCCCCTCACCCCTAAGACTAGAGACTCCTCCCTTTCATTAGAGCCTCAAAGCACATCCTGAATGTAAGAGGGTCTTGAGGCAATGTAGGCAAATTGGTATTATGCTGAATTTTATCTATATAGTGTTGATGACCCAGAAAACTAATTTTTTTGTGTATGTGTATGTGTGTTTATACACATACACACACATATGTGCACATGTATAGGGGTATACATGTGTGTGGGCATGTGTTCACATCTGTGCTCATGCACATAAAGGCATATGGTTGTTCTTGGGTGTCTTCCCTGATTACTCTCTATTTATTGAGGTAGGGTCTCTTGTAGAAACTGGAGCTCACAAGTTTGGCTAGTCTAGCTAGCCAGCTTGGCCTGGGGACCATTGTCTCAACTTCCTGAGCCACTGGATTACAGGCAGGCTGCCACATCTACCTGGGCTTTACGTGGGTGCTGGGGATCCGAACTCTGGTCCTCACACTTGGCAAACCTTTTATCCACTCCAGACATCCCCTGGAGAGGGGCTTTCTTATTACCAGCTTTCTGTAGTAAAGGATCCCAACTTAGTTTGGTACCTGGGAAGCTGGGCAGAGCCCAGAGCTTTCCTTTGTGAGAGATTACAGCCCATGTCAGAAGGGATAGCAGCCAGGCTGTCTCCAGAAGTGATGCCCACCAATAGCTAAAAGTCCTGGAGAAACATGGGGGAGAAGCAATGGTAGGAAGCAAGCTGAGGCCTGAAATGGATCCCACAATAGGATGAGTCCTTTAGCTCTTGACACAGTAGGTACCCGTCAGGTAGGGTGTATCAGCAGGCTCTCCTGCCTGCCGCTGTATACCTGAGCACCTCTGAGATGCTGTTGGAGACGAAGCCAGTTTCACACACTACTCCCTTGAGTCTGTGGGTGTCTACTTGGGGTCCTGGCACAGCTGCTTTTGAGATGGGCCTGTGCACTCCATTGTCATTGCTGACCAGGGGACTCAAGGGTTCATGTCTGATTTCTTGTGGGGCATGGGAGGTGTTTGTGTTCCTGTGTGTGCAGGGGAGGTGTACATGTGTGGGCATGCATATAGAGGACAGAGGTCAGCCTTGGCTGTTGCTCATCTGTGCTGTCTACCTTGTTTGCAAGATGAGGCCTGCAGTAATTAGGCAAGGTCTGGATGGCCAGCAAGCCCCAGGGACCCTTCTGTCTCCGCCTACAGCATGTCCTGGAGATCTAACTTAGGACCTGTGCTTCTCGGCAAGCACGTTACTGGGTTATCTTCCCAGCCCTGTGTCTATCCTCTTTTTTAAGGCTGAGCTACTAGTGAACATTAAAACAATGTCCCCTAGATGTTCCTAGAATCTAGAATGAATCTCATTCCCTTCTCTGTGAGACCATGGACTCCCTCAGGAGACACACAAGTGATGCCCACTGGATTTAGCAGAAGGTTCTGTAACCACACCTGTGGAACCCTGCCTCAGTTTACCTGTTGACCCTACAAGCCTGCCAGTGACCAGAGTGCCTCATTTTTTTCTGCAGCAATACATAGCTCTTAAGTTGTCAGACAAGAAATTGGGGTAGAAGGACCATTTTACCAGCCAAGTCCTCTCTGTTGCCTCCTCTAAATTTTGGGTTTAATTAGACCATTGAGAAAACAAAGATGAATTTACCAAGACTTGTGCAGCAAGAGGGGACTTTCCTTTTCCTTAAAATGATTGTTGAAAGGACCTGTGACTCTTAGCCAGCACCTGAGAGTCACAGAATATGTGTCTTCTGGGCTGAAAGGAGAATCTTTACCTTTGCAGTTCCATTCATATAATGAAATTTCTTTCTTCCAAAAGGTTTTTTAAAGCCTTGATTCTTGTTCACATACACACTTCCCACCCCGATATAAAATAACCCACTCTACATTTTCCTAATATCTGATCAAACATTTGTGAGCTAATTACTTTCCACACATAATAGTCTGACATCAAATATTTGACTTCCCTAACCTCCGCTGTCAAGTTCACTTCTTTGCCACCCCAACAGCTACCCCCCAACACACACCCTAGTTTAACTCAGAATTCACACAGAAAGAAAATGCAAACGCGTCCCTCACTAAGATAATTATCATAAAAAAAAAATCTTTTATCCCAGCCCTGGCTAAATGCAGCCAGCCCCTTATCGCCACAGGAATTTGGAGTAGACTCTTGAGCGCTTTTGAGCTGGAGTTGTAGACTGGGATGCGGGTGCCGCGTAATTGTGAACCCCTCAGTCTCAAAGCCATTAGCAGGGGTTTATTTTTCTGTTACATTCCTGTTCAGCTGAGAAAGTTGCTGATGGAACTTGAGCTAGACAAGCGAGTGCGGGGTTGACAGGCAGGTGCCGGTACAGTATAATTTGGTGGAAGGTTGATCTACCCCAACCCCAGACCCCCACCACATTTAGATAGAGTTTCTTTCCCAATTGCTCTTTCTTGTGCTTTTGTGGGGGGGGGGGGCAGTCTGGAGGTCTGGTGGGGACCATTGTGATGAGGAGGAAATGGAACCCCTGGTTTGCCTGCTCATGGGTATGGAACAGCATGGTTCCCCTGGACAGATATGCCAACTATGGAGTCAGAGCTCTGTAGAGATATGCTAACTCAGCATCCTCACAGAGGGACAGCACAATCCACTCCTTAGTCAGGTGACCTTATTATGCTCTGATTATTGGACGGAAGAGGAAGACTTCTCTTTTCCTCGTTCCTGAGAAGCACTTGCTCTTTGGAGAAAAGAAATTGTTGGCATTCAAACACTCTCTTCATTTAGAAAGCCTCCTGGCAATCCACTTGCCCTCTCCACGATGCGGCCCATTGTGTGGTGTGCACAGGAGAGACCTGGCCCGTGATGGCCTGTAATAGACATAATATCAGGATAACCTCGGTTCTTTAAACAGAATTTTGTGTGCTGGGAAAATAAAAATGCCGTGCAGTGTACTCCAGGTGTGTGCCCAGGACCAGCCCTCCCTGCCTGGAAGAATCTAAGAGGCTCTTCCACCCCACTCACCTGGGCAGGGGCATGTCTTATCCCCAAATCTATCCTTCTACAGAGACAGCTTAACGTCCAGAAGACATAGGGACAGAGGAGAAGGGTAACACTGTCACCAAGGTCATTTCTATCCCCTCCAGGGTGACTTCTAAGGCATCGAGTGAGAATCAAGTTGAATTTGCTTATTAAATCCCTACATTTAAGGTTTTAAGCCTAAACCCTGATGTGGTGGCACATGACTTTAATCCCAACACTCAGAGGAGCCGAGGCAGGTGGATTTCTGTGAGTTCAAGGCCAGTGTGGTCTACATAGAGAATTCTAAGCCATCCAGGGCTACATAGTGAGACCCTGCCTATAAACAACTTTTTAAAATTTAATTTTAAAATAAAATAATTTTTTTTTTTTTTTTTTTTTTTTTTTGGTTTTTCGAGACAGGGTTTCTCTGTGTAGCTTTGCGCCTTTCCTGGAACTGACTTGGTAGCCCAGGCTGGCCTCGAACTCACAGAGATCCGCCTGGCTCTGCCTCCCGAGTGCTGGGATTAAAGGCGTGCGCCACCACCGCCCAGCCAAAATAAAATAATTTTAAGCCCAAATTTCAAATCAGAACTAGAAGTTCTGGCCAGCTAGTGATATGGCTGGTGATGTCAAGTTCCTCTTAAACTACCGTGACTTTTCCTCATTCAGTCTAGAAAGAGTGTAATAAAAGTGAGCATTTCTCATTCTTGACTTTCCATGATCTGCATGCCCACCCCTTTCCAGCCCTCAGGAGCAGCTCTGCAGAGCCACAGAGAACTCTGTGATAGCATATGTCTAATGTGCCCAGACACAGGATCCTTCCTGGTGGCATTTTGACTCTGAAGAACAGGGTTGGCATGAAGGGTGAATGGACATGAATACTTTCAAATGCACATAGTGTCTGGCTGTTGGCCTCATAATCCTCTGTGGAGAATCAGGACTCTGCTGTCCTTTATCTCATGCCCAGATAGCGAAAAGGGCCAGCCACAGCTGACCAGTGATAAAGCAGGGATATAGGGTATCCCCTTGGGTGCAGGGTCACAGCTTACTGCCTGCCCCAAAGAGCATCCAGCAAGCCTCCACATGGGCATTCACAGTGTTCACAGCTCACTGCTCTGAAAGGAGTCCCTCTTTGAATTGTAGTTCATTCCTTCTGTAGACGTGGAAGGTGGGTCCTCTGTGTGTGAATTACCTGTGCCTGCCCCCTCCCCACCCTATCCTGTGAGTTATATGGTCCCACTCTGGTACCTCAGGAGGAATTCAAGGCCTTCCCTGGAGATATTATGGGTGGAGATCTCCAAGCCAAGGCAAGAATACAATCCTTGTTTCCCCAGCACAGCACAGTGCACCGTGTAGGAAAGAATTCCCCTGACCCAAAGGACCCACAGCACCTTCCTTCCATGGTCTCATTTACCTCCCAAAAGAGGCTTGCTATGCAGCCGAGGTAAGCCAGTGGGGCCAGGATGTCTGGACCCTGGAAATCAGAAGTAATGCCTGCCTAGTCAGCCCTAAACACACACATGTCCATTCCCTGGCATCTAGGCATTTCCCCTTTCCCAGATATGCCCAGCTGAGTTAACTGGTGTCCTTGTGGGCATCACTGCATGGGCTCAGTGGTGCATCTGATACTCAGCCCTGCAGAGTCCCACCTAGACGTCTGGGTACCCACTGTTAGGAGTGCCAAGTACAGCCCAGAACAGATGCTTGAATATCACCTCTACACTTCGACTCAGGAGAGCTTTGGGCAGCAGGAGAGGGCCCCGCCTTAGAACTCCATGTTGTTTAGGGCAGGGAGAAGCTCACCATCTCCTGTAGACTCTGAAACTCTCTGGTGGGAACCGAGGCCAGGAGCAACACTGCCTCTGCCCTGATCTAAGTCCCTGCTTATTGCTGGATACCAGGCCAGTCCTCATGACCATGCATACACACCTTCCTACACATTTGCACACACACACAGATGCAGGCATACCTCCCACATACAGCATTCATAAAACACACGTTGGCATACAAATGCAAACCCCTAACACATGCCCATTTACATACAAACATGCACACTTATTCACAACTGTATACACAATGACACAAATCCACACATGTACACACAAACACCTTACACATAATCTTCCATGTCCTCAGATGTATAGAACACATACACCCATGCATACATAACCCACAAAAATACATACAAAGTCACATGAAGATGTTCATGAATACATGCATGCCCCATTATGCAGACATACATAAACTACATGTATATTCAAATGTGAAAATATTGCTAACACACCATGTATGTAATTATGTACATAAACATGTACCCACACTTACAAGTAGGTACACATATGTGCATATGCCCATTCACCAAAGTCTGGGTACAGATGCCCAGGTATGCACTCACATCCACACATGGCTTTGCAAACATGGGTACAGATGGGCTGGGATGCTCACACAAACACAGTTGCATTAGCGTACATATCCACATGTAACTTCAGAGTGCACGCAGAATGCACATGCTCATGCTTGTGCCCATGTGTGCACATAGCCCTCTTTGTGCAAGATCTGAGAGCAGGTGTTCTCTCTCCAGGCCTGGGTGAAAACTGAAGGAGCAGCCGCAGCAGGAAGGCGGGGCAGGGCGCAGAGACCCACCCTAGTTACAGCTCCGGGCTAATTGTTTGGTTTGGCACTGTGCTCGGGATGCTGCCTCATAAACTTAATAATAGCTGCCCCCTTTAATTTGTTTGACCTTGACGACAATAATTTATTATATGCGATGGAGTTCTGCCTTCTTTTTTCTCCTAATTCATAAACAAAGCACTTGGCCTGGCTTCCTTCTCCACTCAGAGGCAGGGCCTCCTTGAATCCACAGTGGCCACTGGGGATGCAGGGAGGAGTCTGACATTGCTCAGTGTTTCCACGATGCAGAGATGAGGTCCTCCAGCGTGGCCTGATCTGTCCTGTGACCTCTGCATCCCTGAGCAGCCAAGACAAGGGCTGGAAGGAAGCTGGGTCGGAGCAGCCTGGGGGGATGGAAGTCCTGGAGCAGTGGGATGGGTTGGGTCTCTGGGATCCTATGGACCCAGGGGTGAGTGTCTGGCTCTCCCGCTCACCTCCTTGCCCTCTGTCTTGCAGAGGATCCCACATTCCGCTGTGACGAGTGTGATGAGCTCTTCCAGTGCAAGCTGGATCTGAGGCGCCACAAGAAGTATGCGTGCAGCTCTGCAGGGGCCCCACTCTATGAGGGCCTTGGGGAGGAACTCAAGCCTGAGGGCCTCATCAGGGGCAGCGATGGGCAAGCACATGAGTGCAAGGACTGCGAGCGGATGTTCCCCAACAAATACAGGTGCCTCCCTGCCTTGCCTCCCACTCCCTCCAGTGGGCAGCCCCCTTGGTCCCCAGCCCACCTTCCTGTCAGGCTTGGGCTCTGGGACTAGGAGACCAAGGGCTCCCATGTGCTACCTCCTACACTGGGAACAGAGTGGGTGCACATGGCTGGCTGGAAGCTGCAGATACTTTTTTCTCACCAGATATGATTCTCACCATAAAGGGCCTGGCCCCAGCAGGAGGACCCACTGGGCCTGGTCTGCAGGCCACTGTCAGTCCCACTGCCCTACACACAACCTGAAAGATGGAGAGCACAGACCAATGTGTTCTTGCCACCCTCTGGCCCCAGGGATACTTTTGCAATAAGACTCCAAACTGGGAGGTGTGAGCTGCAGCACCCGCTGTAGAGGGGATGTAGCTCTCTGGACCTCTGCATCCCTGAGCAGCCAAGCTCTCTGGACATACACAGCCGTTCTCAGTAGACCCATGAAAGGATCCTACAGGGCCCTCATTCATAAGCATGCCCTCCTCAGATGGCAGCCACCTGCCTGGGAGGGATTCCAGAGGCCTAGGCAAAGAGAGCTTCAAGCCCAGCTGAGTGACAACCAAACACAGGCAGCTGGAGCAGACCTGTGTGAGAACCCAGACACAGAGGGCCTTAGGGACCTATAGGAACCCCTGGGACAAAAGAGCATCCTGGGCTCTGGGTAGGGGGAGCTGGGACCTCTGGCCCCAGTGCTCTGAGGAGTGGAGGAGTTTGGAAACTTTTCTAGCCTCAGAGCCCCTGCTCTTGAAGAGTTTGCTCAGGACAGCTTTGCAAAGTCAGAGCAAAACCCTATCAGGCTGCTAACGGCCTCTGTGATTACTAGGGATTTACCACCAATCCCATCATGGACTCCCTGGGGACGGCAGACCTTCCTCCCTGAGCAGATGACTGAGAATAAGCGTGTGGGCAAATCCTGCCTGAGCGCGTCGCAGAGAACAGGACTGAGGAGGGTCCGTGTTTTCTTTACATAAACACATAAATCACAATTAACAACAGGGAAAAGATACAATCTCTGGGAGCTAGAGGAGCAGGCGTTTCTGCTCTAAACGGATGGCTGGGCCCCGTAATTAACGGGCCGTGATATATTACTGCTTTGCTCATGAAGATTAACGGTCATCCTGGGGACAGGAGAGGCAGAGTCCCCAGGGAGGAGGGGATTAGGGGTTGCTCGTGCAGCCAAGAGGAGCGACCCCAGAGCAGCTGTTCTCATCACTGTAACACATCTCATCCAAGACCCTCTGCCGATGCCTACCACTCCTCGATTGTATTTGGTCAGCCAGCAAGCCTCTCAGAGAGCTGACTTGAATTGCATGGCCTCGGTCTTACTCTGGGACTTATGACCGTGTTGGTACCCTGAACCCTTTCCTCTAGACCCAGGCTTAGCTCCCCCCACCTCGCCCACCCTTCGAGATATGGTCTAGCTGTGTGGTACAGGCTGGCCTCAAGCTCGAAATTCTCCTGCCTCAGCCTCCTGGATTTTGGAATTATAGTTGTGTACCACAGCCTCAGACCCAAACTTAGCCCTAAAGTTGGGATCATCTGACTTTAAAAGGGTTGCCTAAGTCCCACCCTGCCCCTGACTGGCTGGGAAATCGGGTAGCCTTGAGTGAAGGTGGCTCAGGCACTGGCTTTTTCCTCTGACTTGGGAAGGTTGTCTTCCCTCATTCCCAATGACCTGGGAAAGATGAAGGGTATGGACCTGCTGCCAGCATGCACTGTGATCCCCCTGCAGCATGATGGGGCCTCCAAGGGGCCACATACAGGAGAACAAGCCATATAGGGTAGGGGACCTCCTTTTCCAGACAAATGGACCCTAGAGTGATCCCCATCCCCTGTACACAGCTTGGAGCAACACATGATTGTCCACACGGAGGAGCGTGAGTACAAATGCGACCAGTGTCCCAAGGCCTTCAACTGGAAGTCCAACCTCATTCGCCACCAGATGTCTCACGACAGTGGCAAGCGCTTCGAATGTGAAAACTGTGTCAAGGTACCAGGCACTCACCCGTGTGCTGTCCCTCTACCCCACCGTGAAACTCCTGAGAGGGGTGGTCTAGTGGATTAGATGCCCTGAGGTCATTTAGGTCCTTCCTCATTACTGAGAAGGGCAGGAAGTCTTAGAGATTATGTCATCAAACAGCCCTGCAGGAAACAGAGCCAAGACCAGAGCTGAGTCTTCTCCAGGGCAGCCCTGTGCCCCCTACCAATGTGCGATGCCAAGGGTTACAAGGGTGAAGCCCTCAGACCCCAGACCACCCAGGTTAGTGCTCTAGAAAATACTGAGTGTCTTGGAGCCTCAGAGACACAGCATTCTGAGGCCACTGGCAGGTAAACTGAGACCAGGAGAGGTTGAGCATCCCACTAAGGCCCTTTAGTAATCAATGCTGCAATAAGACCTATCCCAACCATCTTAATGCAGGGGCAACAAGGAGAGGGAGAGGGCCCAGCCTTCATACTCCTGGGCTAATGGTAGAGTTCAAGAGGGGCATGCACCAATGGCATCTGTTTCCCCAGGTGTTCACGGACCCCAGCAACCTCCAGCGTCACATCCGCTCACAGCACGTTGGTGCCCGGGCCCATGCCTGCCCCGACTGCGGCAAAACCTTCGCCACATCCTCTGGCCTCAAACAGCACAAACATATCCACAGCACAGTGAAGCCATTCATATGTGAGTTGCCCAGATTGGTACCCCAGGTCCCTGCTGAGGACCCCCATCCATCCATAAGCCTTTATAACTGGTCCTAGTTGGATACAGGGCATGGGACACCGTGCCCTTACCTTGTTGACTAGCCTCTTCCAAGTGTATGGACACATCCCTCTCCCCTTCCTACATCCCGCATCTACCCCACACCTCCAGATTTCCTTGCAGTAGCTGGAGGAAGGTAGTAGGCAAGGGTCATTCTAATGATGGAACTTTCTGCAGAAGGGACCAGTGGCCCATCCTCCCTGTGTTCCCACCCTGGCTGAGCCCCAGCTGGACCTCTGAGTATGACCATCCCAGTTGACATGTTGTGAGCATCATGTCTCCTAGGGAGCTTCTGAATGTGACCATCCCTAGATGACATGTACTGAGCATGGTGTTTCTAAGGATCTCCTGGCATCCGTGACCTTTTCTCCCTTTGTCTGTGGTCTGGCCCATCTCTGTAACCTTGCTTTGATCAAGGGTAGCCAACTAAAACGAAATCCCCAGAAGTGGACAGGCAGGCCTTATGAGTCTGCCATGCAGTTGGAATGACACACCTGTGCAAGATAAGCGTGAGATGTGAGATGTATCACTGTGTGCATCCTACAGACCATGGAGTGTGCTGGAGAGGGTGTAGGAAGTTTGGAAGGGAAACTGAAAGCCAGTAAAGGGGAGCCTGTTAGTGTGGCCCTTCCAAGGAAGGATCTGTTACTTGGAGAAGCGTCCCCAATGACCAGGCACCAGCTACATATAAGCAAATGCTATGTCTGCCTGCCAAGTGAAACCTGGGTGTACAGTCAGTGTCTAGAAGCCCCCAAACCCTCACCTCACTGAGCACAGAGACTGAGATGGCATCTTTCTGATCAGGGAGCTCAAATGTGTATATGAGAGGGGGTCAAGTGAAAGAGGGAGGGGAGAGAGAAAGTGTCTGCGTTACAGAGGCATTCTCATGGATGCTTCTCAGAAGAGAGTCTTTGAAGGAGTAGGTGTGCACGTGTGAGAGTATACGGTATGGGCTAGTAAGTTGGCACTGTGACCCCCTCCCGGGTGTGTGTGTGTGTGTGTGTGTGTGTGCGCGCGCGCGCGCACGCGTGCGTGCATGCCTGTGCTCATGCACATCTACACACATATCCCAGGAGCAAAAGAACTCCTGCCCAGGGTCCCTTCCTGTCTTGGTAGATTTGTTAGCTCTGCTCCTGATACCCAGCATAATGCCGCAGCCGGGACTTCCTCCCCATCCCGGAAACAGCCACCTTCTTTGGATGGCTCTGAACTGGCTGGCAGCCATTCTTAATGTCTAGGACTTGCCCTTCCTGGGACTGCCCAGGTGTCTCTACAACCCATCTACCACAGAGTCCCCGTCCCCAGTTATAATAATAGGTAGGAACCAAGGGTCCCTCTGTCCCAGGAGGCACCTGAGTGGGAGGCTTGCTTATGATGATGGCAAAAGATGATCTCTAGGGACCACCAGGATCCCTCGGGGGCTCAGAAACCTAGCAGGGGTGTCTAGTCTGTCTAGGTAACCTGATCTTGGGATCTGCCTTTGGTTCCCTGTGGGAGACCAGGAGTAAGGTGAGGTTATTTATAGACTACCTAAATGTGTTGCCTTTCCCAGAACAGTATCCCAAAAAGGAAAGATTTGATTAAATGAAGCAAAATTTGGCTCCTTTCAGCCAGAAAATGTCTCACTGTGACAACCAGGAAGTCAGGGCAGCTAATATAAATAGATATTGTGATTAAAGTATGTGATAGTTTCAGAGAAAAGACATCTCAGATAAAGTGGCAGATTGGGATTTATAGTGCGAGAACAAGAGACAGGTTACAATCACTGTTTCCACCATGCTACAGAAAGCAAACTGTCCTGTGGGGAGAGTCACAGTGTGTGTGTGTGTGTGTGTGTGTGTGTGTGTGTGTGTGTGTGTGTGTGTGTGTGTGTCCCATGTCCATGTCCCTGTCACTGGGAGGATGGAGATGACTATAGGGGTGTGAGTGTGTGGATGAATGTGCAACATATACTTCCTTATTTTTTGGTAGAAAAGGAGAAAAACTGATGAATGCTTTACTGACCTCCAGTTGCCAGGCCTCAGGAAGATAGCTGCAGGGTCTTCTGAGCCTCTAGGCTAGGCTGAGATCCAGCTGGTATTGCCCTGTCCTGTAAGAGTCCTGATGGTGTCTGTCAGCTAGAGCAGACCCTGCTGGACCTCCAGACTGGAAGCTCCTGGCTAGGAGAGTTTCCAAGTTTGAAAGCATGGACCCAGCCCTTTCCCTGAAGAGTCTCATCCCATCATTGGCCAGCTCCAAAACTGTAGACAAGCATAATCAGGAGCCCTGCTTCCCAGCCCAAGCCCTAACTCTGGGGCTCCTGAGAACTGCTGGGGCATCCGCTCCTGAGATGCTGGTGGCAGGGACTGGGACAGAGAGAGGGAGAGAAAGCAAGGAGCATTTTAAACCAGAAAGAAGTGACTGCTCCTTTGTAGAAACAGCCAACCAAGGTCACCACCTTGGGGCAAATCATGTGGACATTCTGAGCCAGCTATCTCCTAGCCACCAATGAGACTCTGGTGCTGTGTGTCTTTGTTCTGCCCTCACCCAATCTGGACCACAGACAGTCTTCCCAGTGGCTTCCAAAGAGCTTGGTGCAGGCATTTGCCATACCCCAGGGTAAGAATCAGCAATCCATAAAGATGCCATGCTTCCCGCCACAGAAGGCTGAGGCACCATGGTCCACCTGGCCAGGATCCCAGGGAAAGGCACGGTGATCTTTGCCAGCCCCCAGCCTGCGTCTGTACCTGGGGTTCATGGCGATCTCACTCTGTATCTGTATTTGCCTCCTGTGGCTATTTTAGGTGAGGTCTGCCACAAGTCATACACGCAATTCTCCAACCTGTGCCGGCACAAGCGGATGCATGCTGACTGCCGAACGCAGATCAAGTGCAAGGACTGTGGGCAAATGTTCAGCACTACCTCCTCCCTCAACAAGCACCGGCGCTTCTGTGAGGGCAAGAACCATTATACGCCGGGCAGCATCTTCACCCCAGGCCTGCCCTTGACCCCCAGCCCCATGATGGACAAGACAAAACCCTCCCCCACCCTCAACCACGGGGGCCTAGGCTTCACTGAGTATTTCCCCTCCAGACCTCATCCTGGGAGCCTGCCCTTCTCAGCCGCCCCTCCAGCCTTCCCCACACTCACCCCAGGCTTCCCAGGGATCTTCCCTCCATCCTTGTACCCACGACCACCTCTGCTACCTCCCACGCCACTGCTCAAGAGCCCCCTGAACCATGCACAGGATGCCAAGCTCCCCAGCCCACTGGGAAACCCAGCCCTGCCCCTTGTCTCTGCAGTCAGCAACAGTAGCCAGGGTGCCACGGCGGCCACGGGGCCAGAGGAGAAATTCGATGGCCGGTTGGAAGATGCCTATGTGGAGAAGGTTAAAACCGGGAGCCCTGACGTGTCAGATGGCAGTGACTTTGAAGAAATCAACACCACGACGGGAACAGACTTGGACACCACCACAGGCACAGGCTCAGACCTGGACAGTGATGCGGACAGTGACCGAGACAAGGGCAAGGACAGAGCCAAGCCGGCTGAAAGCAAGCCTGAGTTTGGGGGTGAATCGGTGCCCCCCGGGGCCATAAACAGTGTGGCTGAGGTGCCAGCCTTCTACTCACAACATTCATTCTTCCCACCACCCGAGGAACAACTGCTGACGGCCTCGGGAGCTGCCGGTGACTCCATTAAGGCCATCGCATCCATCGCTGAGAAGTACTTCGGTCCTGGCTTCATGAGCATGCAGGAGAAGAAGCTGGGCTCACTACCCTACCACTCTGTGTTCCCCTTCCAGTTTCTGCCCAACTTCCCCCACTCTCTCTACCCCTTCACGGACCGAGCCCTCGCCCATAACTTGCTGGTCAAGGCTGAGCCAAAGTCACCCCGGGATGCTCTCAAGGTGGGCGGCCCCAGTGTAGAGTGCCCCTTCGACCTCACCACCAAACCAAAAGAGGCCAAACCTGCCCTGCTCAGACCCAAGGTTCCCCTGGTCCCCTCATCTGGTGAGGAACAGCCGCTAGACCTGAGCATCGGCAGCAGGGCCCGAGCGAGCCAGAATGGAGGCAGCCGTGAACCACGGAAGAACCACATCTACGGTGAACGGAAGCCGGGGGTTGGCGAGGGGCTGCCTAAGGTGTGCCCAGCACAGCTGCCCCAACAGCCATCCCTGCACTATGCCAAGCCCTCACCCTTCTTCATGGATCCCATCTACAGGTATTAACATGGCCTGCCCTCACTGGCTCTCCCCAGGGACCCACATCCATGGAGTTAGGCAGAGACTCTCTTTCTCTCCCAACCTAACTCAAGATTCTTCCATGTGCGTGCATTTGCTGGCATCAGGGAGGTGCCTCAGTCCATGGGGGTCCCATGCTCCCTCAAGGGTAGATGTCTTCCAACCTTCCTTGAGCCTCTCCGTTAGACCCCATCCAGAGCCCCTCTCTCGTCAGCTGTCTTTTCTGGAACTAATCTCTGTCCTCCACGAAGGTCAGTACAGCCTACTCTACCTCTCGAGAACTTGCTCCATCCCCCTGCAGCTCTACTCTCCTGAGATTGCCCTAGGCCACACTACCCTAGAGCCACATGAGGGGACCTAGCAAAGGAGCTGGTCCTGGTAGGGCAGAATTCTTGCCTCTCTGCTACTGGTTCCAATGAAGGGCAAGTTTGAGTCTACTCTGGCTTATGGGAGGCATTGAGCCGCCCAAAGAGGCAGGTGGGCTTGGAAAGCAGAGCCAGTTTCCATGTTTGGAGCCCTCACCCTGCTGCCATATGTCTCCTGCTTTGCCATGTGAGGAGTCACAGGGAGTAAGAAGAGGGCCATGCATTGGACGTTGACCCTGCTTTGCAGGCATATTGTGCACATGTGTGAGCATGCATCAAGAGATGTTCAGGGAACGTGTGTCTCCTTGGGGCTGGCCATGGTGTGAGGACTGGGGATAGACCCACAGCTCTGAGAGAGGCTAGCAGGTGATAAATCTGTGAGAAAATCCCAAGCAAGGCAGACTGGACAGCTGCACCCACAGGTACCTACCTACTCAGGCCCCAGGCTGCAGCTTCCCCACCCAGCATGCTTCTGTTTTCTGGCGGATTCTGGCTTCATAATCCCAGGAAACAAGAAAGATATCCATCAGGTGTTTCTTAGAAAATGTGCCTCCCACAGCTTACATGAGGAAATGCTGAGGCTCCAGAGAGGAAAGAGAGGCGGAAGTACTAGTCAGTGCTCTTCTAAGGCAGGAAGCAAGAGGCACCAGCTGCCCCATGGACTCATACAGAACATGGGCAGGTACTTGGAGACAAACAGAGCCTTCTGGCTAGACCCCATGCCTGAGGGAACTCTGCTTGAGCACCCTTCCGGCCTTTTCTTCCATCTCCTGCCCGCCCTTTCTACCAGACTGATGACCCTCATATAATTTCTGTAAGCTGTAAAGAATCCATGGTCAGTCTGAAAGAAGAGAATCATGGGAACTGACCACAGGACCCCAGAGCCTCCATTTACATTCTCCTGTAGTCTCTACTCATAATGTCCAGAAGCTAGGCTCAGTGCTTGTCCTTAGGACCTAAGACTGTGGCCACTGGAGGGGCTGGACAAGCTTCTGCAGACAGACGAGCTCAGTGGGAACAGCAGCAATGCACCTCAGTGTGGATCCTCTGCAAAACGGGTCCAGTTATGGTGGACAAATACATGTTTTCAGAAGCCCCTCCAGGTGAAGGCCCAGGAGACTAGGACATAAGGACCATAAGGAGGGTCCTGAGCTACTCCACTGTCACAACACTAGGTTCATCAAGGCTCCCCTCCTGCTGCTTGGCTCCCTTTCTCTACCAGTGTCACCATCCCTAGATGATTGAAAGGCTGAACACTGTCATGAGAGACCCCTCCCTGCAGCAGGCGGGCCTTAGTTACCTGAGTGAAGCTGCAGGCTGAGAACTCTTGCCAAGAGCCAAGTGTCTTGGTATTTATCTCCACCCTTCGCAAAGCCCTTCCTATGGCCACAGCAGTTCTTAGCCTTGATTTCCCCACTGTCCCATGGACAGGACTTGAGTCTCCTCTGGGAACCTGGAGCTGCTGTGCCCTGTACCGCTCTGGCAGTCACCATGCTTCTCCGGCTGCAGTGCCCTGGAAGGCAGGGAAACAGCGGCATCAATTGGTAGAAGGGTAGGCAAGACCAGGGCTTAGGAGGGATGCAAGTGAGCAACTTAGGAACAACTTGTTCTGGTGTCTTGGGGGCAAGAGGGTCAGTGGGTTTGAACAAAACTCCTCTTGGACTTCTGTACCACCAGTGCCTGAGACAGGGGAGTGCTAACTTTGCTGGGAATTGTGGGGGCAAAAGAAAGGACCTGGCTGCCACTTGCACTGACCATGGAGATTTAATGTCTAACGAGTTGTCGCTGACACTTGAGGAAGGTTCTAGAATTGTGATCTCCAGCAGCCACTGAGGGTTTTCCGGTACAGTCTGCCTGGCTGCAGTGGGAAGTCTCTGGTGACTTCCCCAGGACAGAAACCTACATTTGTGAGCACAAATAGGCAAAACGTGCTGTGCCAGTGACCAGCGGGACAGGCTAGCTGAGGTGTAGGCAGCAAGCCCCTGGAGTGATGCAGAGTAACTTGTGGGTGTGCTGGAGACCCTGAGGGCAGCCCCCACTGCCCAGGCATGACCTGCCAGTGGGTAGGAGGCTGGTGCACGTGGCGCCTCCAAAGAACATCTACACTCCAGCACCAAACGTACCGTCATACACAAGAGGTGATAACTGAAGGGATACAGGGGGACTAAAAGAAGTTGGAAAGTGTGTGAAGGAACCACTGAGTAAGTAACGGGACAATGGGAATCTGGGCAAGTGGGAAGCTGGGCCTTGTCCCCACTGTCCTCAGGGCCCAGTGGATTCATGTTGGAGTCGGCTGGGCAGCTCCGTTGCCACCTCCACAGCAGCCTCATGATTAACCCGGCACAGACATGCTGCCAAGGAACAGGTGGCTCCGTGGGGTATGTAACCCTCTGTGTTGCTGTCCAGCAGGGTAGAAAAGCGGAAGGTGACAGACCCTGTGGGAGCCCTGAAAGAGAAGTACCTGCGGCCATCCCCACTGCTGTTCCACCCCCAGGTAACAACCACAGTGGGCATCCGAGATGGGTGTACTTCGACCCCATATGAAGAAGCTCTGAGCCTCAGGTTCTGGTTCCCAGGAGGCAGAGGGGGACTCTCTGCAGGTCCCATGGGTCACTGTGGAGCTGGAGAACATGGGGAAGGGTGGGTTCTCATAGAGAAGCCCTTGAGTCTGTCTAGGGGCCTCTTGCCCATGCTTGGGACTCATGCTTGGAACCCATGCTTGGGGCCCATGCTTGGAGCCCACGCTTGAGAGGGTCCCAGGCCCTAGGAAGGGCTATACACCTGGTGCAGGATGGCAAGAGGATCATAGTTTTTTTGGACATAAGGAAACCCTGGGACTGGTGTTCCTGGGGTGGATGATACCTTAGCATGCTTCAGTGAAAGGACCAGAGGAAGGACAGGCCTTCGTGGGAAGAGGCAGGGGCAAGACTAAGCAGGAAGGAGCAGAGACAACACAGAGGGAAGCCAAGCCATTCCCAAGAAGCTCCATGGAAGCCAGAGAGCCCCACAGTCAGGAAGTGGTGTATAGATCCCTCCAGCCTGCTAGGGTCCCTCCCTGCCTGTGCACCCAGGCCACATGCTTACCCACCACACCCCCACCCAGGAAAGGCACAGCCCAAGGGAAAGTCCTCCAAGGGTCCTGCCCTGTTCTCAATGCTAGAGGTCTGTCCCCTCCTATGAGCTGCAGGTCATATCCCTTAAGCCTCCCTCACCACCAGCGAATCTTCAGGCCAAAAGCCCTGCGTAGAGCATTGTTCTTCCCTGAGCTTCCCGCCTTGAGTAAGCCCAGTCTGTGAAACCTGTACCCTGGCTGAGTTCACAGCTAAACTTAGAGCTCCCATTGTTCCATCGGGCCTCAGAGTTTGGTTAATAGCTTCCCCCAATTTTCCCAGGGCTGGCTGGAAAAAGTCGACAAGCCAGCCAGGCGCATCCGGTGTTTGTGTTTGCACTAGGAGCTCACGGGAATGTCTGATGGGGCAGAGCAGGCCAGGCAGGCAGGACCCACCCGGCCTGAGGAAGAGAGGCCTGTGGGGGGCCGGCTGCCCATTGTCCCTTCTGCCCACTGCTCCTGTGAGCCTACCTTCTCTGCCTGCCCTTGTGGCCCAGAGCCAGGGTGAAGAGGCAGAAAAGAGATGACTTATGGTTACCAGTTAAATGGTCTGATAGGCTGTCTGTCACTGAGACAGAAAGTCTGGTAACCATGGAAAGGTTTTCATGAAACAGACATTACTACTGTGCAGCGACATTGAATAACCTGTGCCCTCCAGCGCCCAGCCCTATCATCACCAAGCCCTTCTGGGCCTGAGACTTGACATATGAATGTGAAGCTCTTTGGGTGCAGGCAAAGTGGGCATGCCCAAAAGCAGCTCCTTGCCAAGCCTGGGAACCTTAGGAGTCTCTATGTTCATAGGCTATCATCAAGACCTGTGGGGAGGTAGACAGTTACTGCTGTGCCAAAGACCTCAGTGTCACCCTGAGGATCCATCTTTCAGGCTTTGGAAAAGGCTCTAGAGGAGATGGGCGGTAGCTTAGAGAGCAAGGCAGTTTCCATCTGCCCACCAGTGAGCATGGGCTGCAAAGAGTGGGTGGGGCGTGTTCTATTGAGGGTCATGTGTTAGTCCCATCTCAACGCGGCAAGGTCCGAATCTCTGTAGCCTGCGCAGAGCTGTCCAGTGGCTCACCACTGTTCCTGGGCATAGTGTCCACTCAACTGCTCTCTGTGGGTTTCTATTACAACCCTACTGTCGTTTCCCCAGATAACAAATGTCTCTGCATTATGAGGCTTCCAAGAAGCAGTAGTACAAAGCCCTCTGTTCCCTGTTGGCAGTGCCCAACAAACAGAGCCCACGAGGATGCTTTGGGCATTCCAACAAGGTGCCGAAGGGCTGAGTGACTGGAGTCATGCAGAAGGATCACAGCCCTGTGGTATGCTGCCTTTGTTCATCCATGGGCAGCTGGGTCCCAGGTTCTGACATCAGTGAACAAGTGCCTTGTGCAGGGGCCTAGCACTAAGCAGAGGCAGCTGGCCATGAGTGAGGAGCCTGGGTGAGGGGGACACACCTTCTCTCCTTCTTCACCCATGCTCCATTGGTGAGGGATCTGGGGTCCTCCTCTAGGCCTAGACTATCCCAACATTCACAGCGCTTGAAGAGCCTGAACCTTTTCCCTCTACATCTCCACCTATACCTGCCCCACTCCTGTCTTTCTTTGCCTACCCTCACCAGCCCCGTCTCTGTGGTCTGCCAGACAAAACCAGCCCTCTGGGATAGATGTTTAGCAGAGGCTTGTACATTCCTGAGGACCAGGACACCTTGTCACAACTTGTAACGGGGCCCAGGAAACTGTTCCATGACTTTCTTTGACTCCTCTTTCTCTTGGCCCTTGCCTCAGCCTCCCGTGGTGTCCATGGGACAAATGGGAGAGGTGCAGCTTCGTGATCAGTGCCCCTGTTACCAAAGCCTTGAGTCTCTGTGGAGCCTGATTAGCCTGGAGTTAGAATCAGATTCTGCCTACCAGGTTGAAAGAACCACTCCAGATAACCCTGGACTATAGCTCCAGTTCTAAGGACAAGGACAGAGTAAGCTATGGCCCTGCCTCCAATGGCTGTCTGAGGGTTACAGATACGATCAGAGACACAAGGACCCCAGGTGCCCACTCTCTGAAGACAGGTAACAGCCAGGTTGAGTACTTGACCTCTGCTCTCTCCTTACCTGCAGATGTCAGCCATAGAAACCATGACAGAGAAGCTGGAAAGCTTTGCAGCCATGAAGGCCGACTCAGGCAGCTCCCTGCAGCCTCTGCCTCACCACCCCTTCAACTTCCGGTCCCCACCCCCAACGCTCTCGGATCCCATCCTCAGGAAGGGCAAGGAGAGATACACATGCAGGTGAGACGCCGAGGGGCCCTTGGGTGCTAGTGGGAAGGGGCCGCACACACCTGGGGCTATGAACCTGCTTCTGGACGAGGCCAGAGCTGCAGTCACGGTAAAGCATGGCGAGCATACTGTCTGCTTGGTGTCATCGTTTACACGTGAGAACGTGGGTAGGGCTTCTAAAACCGTCCACTGTGCTATGTCACCTGAGCCCAATGTGCTTACCTTCACCTGACTGAGCTCAGAAGCCAGAGGAGCACAGCTGGTCAGCATTAGCCAGAGCACTCAGAAGGATGGTGAGCCCGGTACTACAGTTTCTACCATTGCTCACGGTGTTGGGAGGACATGCTCCCAGGCTCCCTGGCTGATCCCAGCCACTAAGGCCCCCCAGACTGAGGGAGTGATGCTGGTCCCTCTGCCCTGTGCTTTGTGAGATGTCTGGACTCAAGGCAAAGAGCAGATAATGAAGTAGGATTCTGGCATGACAGGTCCTACCACCAAGTGTAAAGCCTCTGAGCTGGGCTCTGGATAAAGAGAAATCTGGAAAAGGGCAGTGTGGACCACCCTAATGCCTCTCCCACCTCTCTTCCCTCTGCCTCAGGTACTGTGGCAAGATCTTCCCCAGATCTGCGAATCTCACAAGACATCTGAGGACACACACGGGGGAACAGCCATACAGGTAGGAACCACCTAGTGTTAGAGGGGGGTTGTCCCTGTTGTCTTCCACACACCCTTAGTTCCCTGCTCTGAGCAGACGCCTACGTTCAGATATACCCACAGGGCTGTGGCCACCAGAAGGGCAGTGGACAGGAGCCACAGTGCCCAGTGAGACCTGGCTCTGATAGCCTCTGCCTCTGTCTCCTGGCCCACCACCCTCCAGCTCCTGGAATAGTGGAAGGATGAGGCAGGAAGTGCCCAGGAAATTTCTGGAAGGTTCCTCCCATGCTCCCAAAAGAAGATGTCGGAGACCTTGCCTCTCCTGTAGCTGAAGTGTCAGCCAGGGCAAGCAGTCAAAATCAGAGAGAGACGTGACTGGAAGCTGGATTCTCCACAGGGGAGAACCTTAGCAAGCCAGCCCCGTCCAATCTTGTCCCTGTCATGAGGACCATAGCCACCTCCTCCCCAAGTATATGATCTCTTAATGGATATGGGGTGCCCTTGATTCTCTGCAGCAGCCCTGAGTGGGAGGCCAAGTCGCTCAAGTAGAGAGTGGGCCACACAGTATCTTGGGATATGCGAATCACTGAGTGACTCGGAGCAGCCTCCTAGTGGATCTTACTAACCCGACTTCAGAACCAAGTTACAGCTTAGAGGTGTCCTGAGATTCCCCGAGGTTTGGGACCTCGGGCCACTGTTGCCTACTCTTCTGGCCCCAGGTCCCTGTCCTTTGTGTCCTTGAGCCTTGTTTTGTTTTGTTTTTGCACAAGAAGGGCTGAGGATGCCGCCTCTTCTTGCCCGTGCTCCCAGTCAGGGAGTAGGCCTTTTTAAACAGAACTCAGGCAGTTGTTACCCTGAGACTAACGGGGACATGGCCACTTCTCTGCCAGGACCAGTTTACCAACACACTCTGGGGTGTGTCTAGCTGGCAGAGGCTTTGGGAAAGAAAGAGTTTAGCTCGGTTTCAGACCGATGGCATCACACTCCTGTCCGGTGCCCATGCAGACCTTGTGTCACCAGGAAGTAGTCACATGATGACAGAGCCCTGGGGACTCCTCTGTGTGCTGCCTTCCCTGCAGCAGGGATCCCATGTGGGTATGCGTGTGTTGTGACCCCCAAGCCCCATTCAGGTATACAGAGCATCTCTGGTGGCCACAGGCCCGTGTCTGTGCTAGCAGAATGAACGACAGCTCTTCTGGTTCTGTGCCCCATGCCTCCCAGCCCTCCCCGACACACAGGCCCCCCCCCCCCCCCCCCCCCCCCCCCCCCCGTCTACTCTCTGAAAATGGTGACTTACAACTTAACAAAGGCGAGCAACAGAAAGATTTATTTGGTCTGGTCCTCGCCCAGAAAACGAGCCCTGTGTTTTTTCTGTAATGAGAGCCGACTCCTGGACAGCGTGTCGTGCTAAGAGCCCCCAGAGGGTAGGGGCCGTGTTTATAGAAGAATTTAATTATCATTGATTTCTTTTGCTCTCTCCAATCTGAGAGTTTCGACTTTGGTAACAATAATTGCTTTGCAAGTTTGTGTTGCAAATCCTGACTTTATCTGGCTCGAGGCAGGCCTTCGCCGAGGGGTTTAAAGCGTGCAGCTTGCCTCTTGATACTACTGGGGACCTTGGTCTTGCTTTGATAACTGGAAGGAGTTTAAGTTGTAACAGGAGAAAGCATAGCCTGTCCTAGAAATCCACTGCACAGGGCAAAAGGTCTGGTATACTTGACCTAAGTATGATGCCCACCTCTGTCAGCACGTGTGCATGGTCACTGTGTGTGCACATGGGGGTGTGTGTATGCACTCTTCAGAGGCTGGGACCTTCCCAAGAAACATGAAGAGGGCTGCCTTGGGTGATGAGGAAGCCCTCAGAAATCCCTCCATTTCACAGGTGGCTCTCTGTCTTGACCAGGCTGGCCTCTGCTTTCCCCAGAGGCAGCTTTCCCACACACTCCAGCCAGGAAGCAGTCCTTAGCACACAGCTTCTCCTGGCTTTGAAATCTTTGCCTGGAGCTGGAGAACACATACTTAATGGCATGCTTACATCCTAAAACTCCAGCATGTTAGGCTCTATAGAACTTGGGTTGCAGAGGTGGAAAGACATGATCAGCTGGGGCTGGGGAGATGGTCTTGCAAGCATGAGAACCTGCATTCAGATCCCTAGCACCCACATACAAGCTGAGCATGGCAGTATGTCCCTGTAATCTCAGTGCTAGCTGGACAGAGACAGGAACATCCCTGGAATTTTCTGGCCAGCCAGTCTAGTGAGATCCAGTTTCAAGGAGAGACCCTCAAGAAATAAGGTTGAAAGCAATAATAGAAGACATCCAGTGTTAACCTCTGGCCTCCACACAAATGTACACTTACATGCATATATACATGCATGCACACACTAGCATATACACCTGACTATGTATACATTTATGCGCTCACACACATATAAATTTTTAATTAAAAATTTTAAAATGGAAAAATTGAGTTGAGAATGAAAAGGCTGTAGAGGCTCTCCTGACTGTTGGGTGTAGCCTGCATCATATGTGGATGCAAGCCTTCCTGGACCAACCTGGAACTCCTGGTCAGGCCTGTGGCTCCCGCTACAGGGATGCACACCTTCCAGAGTGTAGTTATGTTGCCTTCATTCTCTTCCCAGCTCCCGCTCCGCATCCTGTGTTAGGAAAGCCAACAGTGTCCAGCAGGGCTGCAGGTGACTCCTGCAAGCCGCTTCCTTATTTATTTTTATTCTTAGAACATTCTTAATCTCTTCTTTCCTTTTCTGTCCTCACTTTTAAAATGATGAAGTACTGGTGGTAGCCCTCCTGTGTCTCGGGGAAGATGCTGCTGCCTGGAGGCCGAGAGGCATGGTTTCACCCTCTCCTGCCTTGTGCATCCCACACTTCCCTGGAACTGCCACAGGCATGGTCACAGCAAGGTCCTCCCAAAGCTCTCTGCTGGGCTGCCTGTGCCCTCTCATTTCTGTGAGCACAATGGTGTGTTGCTTTACGCGACACAGCTGTAAATTTCCCTAGCTGCCTGTCAGCTTATTCACAGTGCAGAGCCCAGCTGCTGGGTGAACTCTGCTCTCTCACAGCCCTGGGCTCTCTGCTCCCCTAAATTTCAAGTAGATGTCTCTGCCTGGGCCATTTATTTAGATTAGAACAAGGAGAGGCTACGTTCAGAACACAGCAAGCAGACAGAACACGCAGCCCATCCTGGCTCCAGAGCTCTGTGCGAGCCTTTACCCCTGCAGCCGCCTTCTGCCAGCATCCCCTCTCCATCCCACTTCATCCCAGCACTCCCATGCTTAGGAGTCTATGCCAGATCTAGGGTGGGGAGGGGGGACCTGTCAAAGTGTCTCTGCATTTTCTGAGGAACCAAATTAAAAAAAAAAAAGAACTTTGTGAAATGCTTCAGACAGACAAGCAGACGGGGCTGCCTGGCTGACCTACAGCATCTGCAGAGAATTCTCATCCTGGTGGAGTGAACTCCCAGGCCCATGGGCAGTTGCAAATCAAGTTTTCCTTTCCTGAGCAATCACCCCCAAAGAGCAGGAAGACCTGGGCCTGCCTCCACTAAGGTGTCTATATGTTTTAGGGTATGGGGTGAGTGCAGGTGAGAGGTGACATTCCTTCTGAGCTCTTGCATCGATCGGCAAGAGGCTGCAGAGCATGAAGGATTGAGATCTGTTATTGCTCAGGCAAAGAAAAGCAACAGTTATACCTCCAGAGCGTACTTTGCAGGTGGTCACATGAGTCGGGCTGCTTCCCAGACTGTGGGAAGAAATGCTGTGATCAAGGATACCCACATGGCCTAGAGGCCACTCAGGACAACCTAAGATAGAGGTTCATGCCTATGCTTCAGAGAAGAAGCTAGGTCATGAAGACCCATGAAAGGAGCCAGGGGGAGCCTGGCCTCGGGCAAGGCTGGAGACTCCAGGAACCAAATAAGGGGACCATGAAGAGCAACACAAGAATTCAAGGTTGGGAGTGTCTGTCAGCTGTGGTCAAGCCTGAAGGAAGAGCCTGGGCAGGAGGGAGGGTCCCTCAGAGCAGCCTCCCATTCTCCAGGGCCTTAAACTTCCTCGGTTTTATCTGGCAGTCGGGGACCAGAGGATGTCCAGGCTCTGGACTTGCAGGCTCTGAGTGTCCAAGGGCAAAGTTAATAACTGCAATCCTCGAAGGTTCTGCACTCAACAGGAACAGAAACACATACAGACAAACACCCTGTCACAGAACATGATCAGATCCATCAGACACCCTGGGCAGGGGCCCACACAGCCCACAGAGCCCTCCGATCTTAGTCTCCAGGCCTGGCCCCTCCTGTACTGGACAACAGGATGCTATAAAAGCAGCTTTGACACAGCCCCTCCTGGCTGTGTCCTTGGTGTCCTCAGGCATGTCCTCAACCACATGACAAAGGCTTGTGACCAGAGTGCTACTCTAGAGCAGGCCACCAGCCCCGTCTCAGTGGGGTAGGGCCCATAGGAATGCCAGGCTGCTGTATTTAGAACAGTCACACTGTGGGTGAAGAAAAGCTCCCATCTTTGTTCTCCCTGAGGGTGACATCACAGGCCTTGGCTCCAGAAACGGGGGGGGGGGGGGGGGGGGGGGCTGTCTCATGGCACTGGTACTGGCAATCTTGTGTGTTGTGCTGTCACCTAGCAGGACTCATTTCTAAGATGTGAAAATACACAGTCACACAAACATAGTTTTCTAGGGCTGTGTGCCTATAGATCCAGATAAGCACCCAAAAGGCATTCTGATGGCCAGTTCCACAGGTATATGCTCATATTCCTGAACACTTGTGCACACACACACACTCACACACTCACTGCATACATGCACACATATGCAATAAAAAGCCATGGAGTTGGGATTGCTGCTGCGGGGTCTGCCTGTGTGGACAGGCCCTCGGGAAGCCCTGTCATCCGTGCACAGCTCAGACTCCACACAGTGCAGACGTTGCTCCTTTGCAAGGCAGCTCACGTGTGCTGCAGAGCTTGGAAGGTTCCTTCTTAAATCACTCTCTGCTCTTTGTTTTGGGTCGGTCTCTTTGTTGTGGGTATTGCTTTGGGCCTGTTACAAGACTGGGGGAGAGCAGGCCTCTGTTCTCTGCTGTTCAGGCCACCGAGGCCGCACCTGGGGGCATACACATGTAGACAATTCTCACTGCCCACGGCCTCAAACTGCGCCAGGATTTCTGATAAAATGCATGCTGGCTGCTAGTATCTTTTTTTTTTTTTTCTAATTTGATTGCTTGGTCAACCTAGTGGGGACATGGCAATAATCTGAGCACGAAGGAGCTGGTGGTTCCTTGAGGGGCTAGCAGGGCTACCAGTTGGCCTCAGTGGTCAAGGCCACAAGGCCAAAAGCCCCCACCTAACCTTCAGGGCTACTAAAAACATTAGATAGTCACACTGAGTCCCTAAGTGAGATGGGGCTTGCCCAAGGTCTTCAGTCAGAGGAACCAGACAGCAGGCCTTTCTGCGATAGAGAAGATTGAAGACTGCTTTCCCATCTCAGGGTAACTGCCAGCAGAATCTGCAGCTTTCCATGTTTCAAGGCTGCCCTCTTGAGGCTAACTGGAGAATGTCATCTCACACTGCATCTAACTCCCCTCTACTAACTAGCTCAGGGGCAATTTAAACAGGACCTAGATGGCTCTAGAGACAGGCGACCCTGGGACACGTCTGAACTCTCCAGCTGGGTAGTCAGGTGGCCTCAGGGACTCCACAGTGGATACAGCTGCCGTAGAGACAGAGGTCTGGCCCTGTTCCCAGTCCCACCACGCTTGATCTCCTCTCCTCTGAGGCAAGGTGCACCTGTTTTCCAGGTGCAAGTATTGTGACCGGTCATTCAGCATCTCCTCGAACCTCCAACGGCACGTGAGGAACATCCACAATAAAGAGAAGCCATTCAAGTGTCACCTGTGCAACCGCTGCTTTGGGCAGCAGACCAACCTGGACCGGCACCTGAAGAAGCAATGAACATGAGGGTAGCACCAGGTTGGTGGGGTGTGGGGCGCAGCGGAGGATGGGCAAGGGAAGCGAGCTGGCAGGGGAAGGGGCAATTCCACCCCTCAAACAACTCTCTAAGACACGGTTCCCTGAGACCGCGCCCCAAGTGTACACTGGCATGGGGGCAGTGGGGTGGGTTTGATGCACCCAGAATGCCCCTGACACTCAGCCCTTCCACAGTAAGCCAGCACTCTGGGGTGCTCACGAACCAACCTGGGTACCAGCGCCTCCTCCCCCACCTCCGAGTCGGACAACCATGCACTTTTAGATGAGAAGGAAGATTCCTACTTCTCTGAGATCCGAAACTTCATTGCCAACAGTGAGATGAACCAGGCATCTACTCGGATGGACAAACGGTAAGAAAATCAAGCCAGCCCCCACAGGTCTAGACCCAGCTGCTCCGATGGTCTTGCTCGGGTGCATTCATCCCCAGCCCCTGAATGGTACTAGACCCCACATGGAGGAAGCCCCAGGCTCTATTGCTAGAAACAAGAAGAGTCCTCCCAGTCCTCTGCAAGAGCTTCTAGTTAGGAGAGGATGAGGGGAGAGCACCCTGTGAGATAATGGGTGTTTATTACTCAGTGAGGTGCCAGCACACGGGCCGAGTGGCAACCCCATTGTGTGTTAATCCAGGCACTCACTTTTTCAGACAGAAATGCTGCCCCTTTAAACACGCATATGGAGGAGAGAGAGAGAGAGAGAGAGGAGAGAGAGAGAGAGAGCGCTCAACTTACAGTGAGGCTACGTGATGAAAATCCTACAAAGTAAAAAGATTGTCATTCAATGATGCATTAAATAGAGCTAAGCCACCAAATACAGCTCAACAAGCCTGCCCCCCCATCCCCTGCTCCATGACATTCAGAAAACACACAGTAGGCTGCTACACAGACCATCTAGCTCAGAGCCTAGTCTGTAATAGAGAACATGAACAACTCGTGTGACTGACCAAAAAACTCACCCACATCTAAAAACACCAATGGCACAGTGGGCAGTGGAGCACTGGCTACTTCCCTCTGTCCTCCAGCTGCCTGGGAGCAGATCCCTGACCCTGCCCAGGATCTCCTAGGAACACTATACCTGTGCTTAGCATAGCACAGGGAAAGGTCAGACCTCAAAGTGTGGGTCCTCCTTGTCATCTTCACACTATGGTAAAATAAAACCTTTGTAATTCAGAGGTGGTTTCTATATACACACACAGACACACAGAGACATGTGCAAATAGAAGCACGTGTGTGTATGTGTGTCTGTGTGTATTCACATATGGTTTATGTGTGTATATATATGGATACATACACTCATGCATATATGCATAAATTTGCACAGAGATGGTAGAATTCAGGCCAGGCTGTGGATGGTATTCCTGTAAAACCACACATCCAGGCTTCAGTGTATCCTTTATTCAGGAACTCTCCCCTTCTGTGAGGACACCTCTGTACCCCAGGAAAACAAACTGATCAGAGAAGTCACCAAGTAACAGAAGTTCTATAAAACCCAAGAAACCTCGGGAAGGGATCTCCAGTTCTGAAGAAGAGAACCAGAGGCCCATGGAAGTGGGGTGCCTTGCTGTAGCCCACAGCCAACCCAGAACCTAGAGCCAGGACCCAGCCTTTATTGCATGAGCCATCAAGGATTACAGCTCTGTGCCACCATGGCCCAGCTTGCTCCCATCCACTTTGAGGGAGTCTGCACCTCCAAGGCAGGCTGTTTCCTTTGTCTCTAGTGCAGACTAGTCCATATCATCAGTGCTGATGCCCTTAGCTTTGTTTTTTGCTCACCAAGTCTGTGGTCTTACTGGAGGGCCCTGATTACTCTCAGGGCCCAGACTACATACCCCAAGTGCCCTGGCATACCCATCCTGGCTCTTGGCACAGTGCTCTAAAGGGAACCTGGCCCTGCCACTCAGCATGTGACGTGTCTGAGAGCCACCCACCCCATTTGTTCAGCAGCTTGATGGCCCTTTCAGAGGAAGCTGTGTGTGAGTGAGCACCCCCATGGCAGGCCTTCCCTGACCCCACAGAGAGCAGGAGACAAGCGCAAACTGTGACTTCCTCAAGCCCCAGGGCAGAACCACCCAAAGAGCAATGAAGACGCGCCCTTGCTGGGGTGGGCCCAGGACCAGGACCAGGCACGGGTGGGCTGCCAGGACCCTGGGCACTCAAAGGACAGCAAGACCCCATGCTCTGAGTGACAGTGGCAGGCCAGGGGACCATCCACATGACCCAGCAGAAGAGGAGGCATTTGTGGAAGGAAGAGAGGCTGCCACCCAACCTAACCATGTCATGGATGTTCCGACAGAGCTCCCCGCAATCCTCCCTCACCTTCAACACTGCTGACAACATGGCAGGGCCAGGACAGGGCCAGCCCCATCCTAAACCCAGCCAGTCTGTTGCGGGAGGTCTCCGAGGTCCAGCCAGCTTTGTCCTGAGAGCCAAGGAGCCTAAGGAAGACCCACCCCCATGTCACCACTACTGCTATTAGAACAAGCATACGTGAGGTTGCCGTTACTTGGCAGTCTGGTGGGGAGAACAGACCCAGCTGGGCTGGTACCCATATTATCTAAGTCTCTTTGACTGTTGAGTCCTTCCCTTAGTGATCAGTGAGAATCTAATGCCTGCCAGGCCAACCCAAAGGAATGGCCATGTGCTGAACTGTGTCCCCCCAAATCACCTGTGAATCCTAACCCAGTGCCTCCAATGGAGACTAGGGATAGGGTCTCTATAGAGGTGATAGAGTTACTGCAAAGTCCTGCTGGATGATGGGGATACTTCTACAAAAGACACACAGGCACACCACACACACACACACACACACACACACACACACACACACACACACACGCATCACGAGAAGATAAAGACAGAGGCCACGTGTTGACTATGGGAGACGCTGGCTTTTCCCCAGAATTCCCAGGAACCAGCTGTGCTGCACCTTGACCCCAGCCCTTTGCTTCCCTGGCTGCCAGTTCCTGCCACTGTGAGCCATGCCAGCCAGGATGGTAGCACAGCTGCCGCTAGGGCAGCTTTCCTGTCCCCACCAGAGAAGCTGTCCTCCTCCCTGAAGCCAACACCAGCCTGCCAGGGCCCCTCTGTCCCTGCTGGACCGCACACCAGAGAGTGGACATGCAAGAAAAGAGATCATGGTCTCTGCTCCCAGACAACAGAGCTCTTTTAACCCCGCCCAAGACCAGCCTGGCCTACTCACACCAGCTACCTGGTGAATGTGACCCAGGGCCAGGCTGGGCTCTCGGCCCATACTTTCTCTTCCTGTCCTTAGAGGGGACTGTGGGGGCTGAGTTCTCCCACCCTGCAACTACAGAGTGACAGGATCCAGACCCCAGCTGCCCTAGAGCCTTCACTTCCAGGAGATGAACTCAGCATGTTCTTGGCTGGCTCCTGACACAGGTGACTAGAAGCCAGGGACATATGGCTCCTCTAAGCCATCAAGCTTCTTCCTGTCCTGGAGGGCAGGGCAGGAGGCAGTGTCTCTCACGAGGGAAGAAATTGGTGACATGGTGGAGTCTGCACAGCCCTGCCACAGACTCTCCCCAGCTCAGCCCCACCTGTACAACCAAGGCCTTGACAGCACTTTGCAAGTCAACCCCACTAAGATGCTGTCTTCATGGAAAATAACCAAATGCCCCTCTCTCCCAAGATCCCAAGAACTGCCTCGGTCGGCCCCCCATAACGGTGTGGGAATGGACAGCAGGAAGATCTGGGGGCTCTAGATATAGAACCCAATGTTTTTCTTTTGCTATGTCCTCTGCTGGAGTGGACCCGCCCACATGGCCACAGTTCCTGGGGCACAGACTATGGTCATTGACTTGAACGTGAGCCAGACTGGTGGTGCTCTTTGGAGGAAACTGACCTGGCTCACCCTCATTAAAAAGGAACCAAAGCTCAAAATTCTTGCCCAGGACCTGGGTAGAGGGCTCACTGAGAGGACTGGAGTTTGCTTCCCAGCACCTGCACCAGGCAGCTCACAATCACCTATAACTCTAGCTCCTCTTTTGCTATTCTTGGGCACCCACATGTGCATGTGCGTGCGTGTGCACGCTCACACACACACACACACACACACACACACACACACACACACACACACGCGCGCGCAAAAAGAAAAAATCTTTAAAAAAAAAAAAACACTCTTACCCAGAGGATTGAGAACATTTCTCAGCTGGTGTGTAAGCATGGGGGTCTGAGTTCAAGCCTCAAAATCCATGTTTAAAAAAAAAAGAAAAAGTGAGCATGGTATAACACCCCACCCATATTCCCAGTGCTGGTGATGCAGGGTCAGATGTCTCTGAGACTTACAGGCCACCCAGTCAATCCAAATAGGTGAGCCCAGGCCCATGAGAGACCCTCATAGTGGATAGTGGCTGAGGAAGACATGGGTGGTTGACCTCTGGCCTCCATGTATACACATGTGACTGTACAGAGAGAGAGGGAGGGAGAGAGAGAGAGAGGAGAGGAGAGGAGAGGAGAAGAAGAGGGGAGGAGGGGAGAGGGAGAGGACCCAGAGAGACTGAGAGAGAACAAGAGAGTGTCTGAGATCTGCCTAGGCTGCAGAGACCCTAGGGGGCTGTGAGTTAGAGCCTAGGCTATAAGCCAGGACCAACACTCCCTGAAGCCAGCCCATCCTGGCAGTGTGTTCTATTAGCAGCAGCAGCCTGAAGCCCTCACTCCCCAGGTTCTGCACCCTTAATCCCATGGCTGGCTTGGAGGTTCATGCACAGATTGGTATCAGAGTCCTGGGCAGGATGGCATCTGAAAAATTCTACACCAGTGTCTTAAGGGTGTACTTTGTGTAGCATCCAACCCCAGTACCAGTACAGGACCCCTCCTCTCCAGGCTTGGTCCTAGCTTCCTCCCTAATACCCACATTTCTCACTGGCACCCAAATGACCTGGTATCCATCCCTCAGGGACCCTGCCTTGTCCCGTTTTTCTCCTCAGGGTGCCTCCATCTCTTCTGGATTTTCCTACTTCCCCCATCACTGTTGGTGAGGAAGTGGGCAACTGCCTTTAGACCCGTAACTCCCTCTTTTAGTGACCACAGATGCCAACTCTTTTTGAAGGGCTGGGAAGGCCAAGGGGGAGAGCCACCTTTAGTGGTCTGCAGTAAGAATAAAGGCCCCTGAACACAGCCAACTTCCTCACCTGTCATTTCAGGCCTGAGATCCAAGACCTGGACAGCAACCCCCCGTGTCCAGGCTCAGCCAGTGCCAAGCCAGAGGATGTAGAGGAGGAGGAAGAGGAAGACCTGGAGGAAGAGGATGATGACAGCTTAGCTGGGAAGTCACAGGAGGACACCGTGTCCCCCACACCTGAGCCTCAAGGAGTCTATGAGGATGAGGAGGATGAGGAACCACCCAACTCCCTAACCATGGGCTTCGACCATACTCGAAGGTGGGGTGCCCAAGTGCAGGGAATCGCCTGGGTGGGAGGATCGGGATGCAAGGCCACCTTTCAGGAGCCACCTCCTCCAACCTGGCCTTACCTCTGCCCAGCAGGTGCTGCTGCCACAAGGCTTCATAGCTAGGGCTGGGGTGATGCTAACCAGAGTCAGGGCGCCGGGTCTCCACTCCCTCTAGGGTTTCCAGAAGCTTGGAGTGGGAAAAAGGAAGAGGGAAGCGTGTGCTCTGCTGACCCTGACTCCAGAGTCCTCAGCTCTGCTGTGCAGCTGTTCATTAGCCCATCCACCTGGGGTGGCAGGGTCCAGCCTCTGGTGGGCTGTGGACCCATGATTTTAGAAATCGTGCAGGCCAGAGCCACGTCCCATGTTCTGACTGTTCACCGGTTATTTCAGCAATGGGTGACACTGCCAGCATTTGAGATGCCCTGGACTGGCCCTCTGGAGCCAGCATTTCTTCCCCAGCCTCTTGGTCCTGGGGGTGGGTAGGGCAGCCAGGTCCCCTCCAAAGCTGCCCAGAGCCCCAGAGTATTAAAGCTTCCTTCTCACCCTTTATCCCGAAGACCAGATTGCCTGCTGCCTGTGACATGTGTGCACGCACTCACCCTTCCTGCTCTCTATCTATCTGCTCTCCCACATCTCTGTGTGGCTTCCCATCAAGGTGTCTGTGTCGATGTGTCTGTCTCCTTGTGCATGTGGCTCGTGGAAACCCGTGGCATGCATGCAGGCACGGGGACCAGCCATGAAGCACTAGAGAGAGGCCACCAGAGGCCAAAGAGCTGACCCCAGGCCCCTCTCCCCGGTCCTTGGTGCAGGTGTGTTGAGGAGCGAGGAGGCGGTCTGTTAGCTTTGGAGCCGACGCCAACCTTTGGGAAGGGGCTGGATCTCCGCAGAGCAGCTGAGGAAGCATTTGAAGTTAAAGATGTGCTTAATTCCACCTTAGATTCTGAGGCTTTAAAACAAACCCTGTACAGGCAGGCTAAGAACCAGGTAGGTACCCAGCAGAGCCCTCATCCCTCCTCACGCTTCCACTTGGCTTTGACAGCAAGCGGCCACCGTGCCTTCTCAACAAAGGATACCTGAGCACTTCCGGCTGTCCCATGCCTGGAGGACATTCAGATCCACAGCCGCCCCCCATGCCCACTGCATTGTCTCAAGAAACAGCCCAATAGCTGTTTTCCTCCAGCACCCTGGTAGGGCAGGTGGGGGTCGAAGACAGATAAACATGAGCTAGCTCGCTCTCGGGTCATGCGTGAGGGCCACTTTCCCAATCTCCCCATCCCATCTCCAGTTGGGAGCAGCTGCCTGGATCTTCTTCCCTCTGAACCAGGATGAGTTGGCTACCCTGCTGTTTCAGGGAAAGTCCCCATCAGGTGATCACTGTTTCCAAGATGGAGCTAAGACAGGGTCCTTGAGGGTACAGGCTTGTCCTGGGCACTTTCTGTGTTCACATCTCAGGGACAGTGGCCACAGGACTCTGCAGCCCATTGTTTGGACATCTAAAGGGGCTTGGCTCACATTCCATCCTGAGCAGCCTTCCCAGCACCAGCTCAGATTTTCACTCCAATTCGTCTGCGTGTCTGTCTTTGTCTCTAACTAATTCTGTCTAGTGTTTGCTCAAGGGTAGAGGGGCCCCGTATTGGGCTTCCCTAGCACCCACCTCATACTATGCTCCACACAGCCCTCAGCCCTGGTACCTCCTGCCCTGTCCCGTGTCTGGAGGCAGAAGGATGCCCCCATGATTGTCTGAGGCCAGCAAACACAGCACATTACCTTATAATTGCATCAGCTCAGAGACACTAGTCTACTCCAAAAGGGAGCCCACCACAATCGTTCAGAGTCCCCCAGGCCTCCCGACAACTAAGCAAAGACAATCTCACTGGCACAGAACTGAAAATAACTCTTGCCAATCCCCAGGATGCTCCCAGAGCAGACGTTGATCATTAGGTTTTTGCCAGTCACTGGGCAGAGAAACTGGGGGTTGGAGGGAGGTGGAGATGTAATTGTAGGGGAACACTCAAGGAATGCAAGGGATCACAGTGGGCACAGAAGCCCCAAGAAGGGCTACTATGTCCTGGTGTCAGAGCAGGAGAGGTGCCCCCCCCCCCTGCTCTCATACACTCCTGTCTCCCCCTCTCAAGCCAGAGAGTCTAGGCCTCTCTAGTGCCTTTGTTTCCCTTTTCCATCTAACTGTGCAGGAGCAGGGGTGGGGGTGGGGGTCAGACAGGCTGGGGACAGCTGGTGAGGTAAGGCTCGGGCCTCCCTGTCCGGGATGCCCCTCACCTGTCCTCTGTGTGCTGTCCTTTCCCCACCAGGCATATGCAATGATGCTGTCCCTCTCTGAGGACACTCCTCTCCACGCCCCCTCCCAGAGCTCACTGGATGCTTGGTTAAACATCACAGGAGCCTCATCAGAGTCTGGAGCCTTTAACCCCATCAACCACCTCTGAGGTCCTGGAGGCCCCAGGGCCGGAGTCCAAAGCCAGGTTACCAGCTGCGGGAGATGGAAAAGGGGCCAGGGAGAAGCTCCTGACACCTTCATTTTGCCTCACCTCCACTTCCAGCCCCACCCACCACGGCTCAAGTCCAGCTTCTCCAATGAAACTCAGAACCTGAAGGTCCCTCGAGTAGCCACTGACCTTCACCACCTCTCAGAACTGGCCTCAAGGACATGATCTGCAGTGGTGCAGTGCATGCCCACACAGGAGCTGCTCACCGTAGCTGCCTATCAGATAACTAGTGGGCAGGGGTGGGATCTCCATCCCAACAGGAGCCAGTTGGCCACATCTGGGCAGCTGCATGGTATGAAGGAGGGGAATGGAAACAAGTGGGCATGTGCTACGGAGAGAGACCTCACAAATGATTTTTATAATGAAAATTACACAAGTAACCCTTTTGGTAATCTTATTGACTATAGAGTCTATTTAAGCATGTGGGGTTTTAAAAATAGACAGTATTTTTTAAAAAATCAAAAATGACTTGCAAAATGTTTTTTAAAAGTAATTTTGCATTGCTTTGAAAATTCAGCTTATTGGCAAACCCACACCTGCCAGGACATGGAGCACTGCTCGGGTGTGCCCTTTATAATGTAGATAATGGAGAATTTTCTATCCCCGACCCTGTTTGTACAAGCCAAGGTGATTCTGGGTGTCCCTGACACAGGATAAGGGGCATGGAGCCATCTGAATAGCATGCTGACTACACAGGAATTTTTGGTCACAGTGCCTGGCTGCAGGTTTGTGGAGGCCAGGTCAGGGAGGTTGTCTTGCCCCATGTGGCCTGCAGAGGAATCCACCGGTCCCCACCCAAGACCCCCCAATTGTATGGGGAAGTCGGGAGCCGGTGGCTCAGGTCTTCCATGCTGGACACCTGATGGTCTTTCCCCTTCAGCAGCCCCAGCGCTGGTCCTGACCGCTGCTCTTCTGAAGGTCGGGCTCTGGGCCATGTCTCCAGTCTCCAGCCTCCAGCCTTCCACTCTCCCCAACCCTGGCAGTCGGATGTCCTCCCCATGGCCACTAAGCATGGGGAGCCTACCTACCTGCTCCACCGCTCCAGGACGCCAAGCACTACCTGTGCCTAAGACTCCAGCTCAACCACATAGCCGCCACGTCTGCTCTTTGTGTGGGGTTCTGGTGAGATGCGGTCAGGAACAAAAGGAGGATCCAGGGGGCCTGCCACTCAAAGAGCAGAAACAACACAGCCCCAGGACCAGATGCCTAGCTCCTTTGGGACGGTCATGATGTGTCTACTTCTCTGCTTGGATGGGCTTTAAATTATTCCCACAGGGGCCAACTTCAAATAATTTCTTTCTCTGATGGAATTTACCTTAATCTGTATATAACTTGTAATTTTTCTAATTCATTTCTTTCCTTATTTTATTTCTTCCTTAACAGTATTTTTGGCATTGGACAACTTATTCTGAAGAAATGATGTTAATATAAGTATGTAGTGAAGGACCAAAACCATGTGACATGGTTGTGTGCTGTGTGATCGGTAACCAGGGAGTGGGGCGGTTGTTAATGTGCCAAATACCCCTGCGTCCCTCCCTCGAGGAGTCTTGCGGTCACCGCTGCCCATTTACCAGACAATCATATGATTTTGTTAAATTTGAGTTTTTAAGCAAGTGTTCTATTTATTTTATCGTTTTGAAGGAAAAAAAATAATGAGTATCCCAACAAGAAAAGGGGAGGGAATCCTTCCTGGATTGCCCTTTAAAAAAAATGAGAGGTAGTGTCAACAGCCACAGTGCAAGTGTGTCACACTACGGGCGTGTCAGTGATTCCCCCTGGGAGCAACATGAACATCCAAGCAGGTATGTTTCGTGAATGCTGTGGCTGTTCTGGGGCAAAGACAATCATCTCTTCTGATGCTGAGTAGTCCAGGCTGGGCTGGAGACTTGATGGGGACATCCCTGAAGACACCACTACCCTGCAGGTTCCAGTGAATCCCAGTGACGTCAGACGGAATAGTCCTGTGTGTGTGCCCAGGAGTACATTCGTGTATGCAGACTGGGGCGGCGGGGACCCTCTTCAGAGGAACTTGCCATGGTCGGGGTTGTAAGGATTTGTGGACCCAACTGCTCACACTTCTCACAGGTTCATGACATCCTCTTAGTGATGGGCTAGGGCCTCGGCTTAGGGATTTCAGGTTCCTCTAGGTGGGAGCTAGATGGGATCCCTGTAAAAGTTCAATCTCAGATAAATGGATCCCACATTTGTAAACCCCAAATTATATGCTTTCTTCTGAGAAAGAGCAAGATGCGTACTTTTTTTTCTGTGATGTGACTTTCTCTCTCCAAAGTGGGGGAGTCTGTCTGGATAGAGACTTCTATGAAACTTTTGGACAGCAGCAGAGCAGTTAAAGGCTTTCCTTTTTGTCCTCTTTGGTACTCCCGACCCCTGTCCTCTCACCCTTCTTTCTCCTTCTCAAGAGTCCCAGCTTTGCTAAGTCATATGCTTTGCCCACTCCACCCCCAAAAAAGTGATGGTAGCAAACCCAGGTTCTCTTGAACGGTCAACCCTTGGGCCCAGCACTTGGAATTTGGAGGGCTCTGTCCTTACCCCCCCCCCCAACAAAGACAGCACTTATCCCCAACTTATCTGCACTTACCTGCACTGTATCCCCAACATGCTGCCTCCATACTGCATTGCCCCCAAACAGTGAGCTCTTCCTACCTGGTATCTCTGCACTTCTTGCAGTACCCAGCTGGCTCAAGCCAAGCATCAGGCACAGGAGACCCTCTCAGGGTCAGGGAGCTGGACTAGGTGTGTGTTCTAAGAGCCTGGCTGCTGGAGAACCAAACCATACTGTGTTGCCTGTTGCCATGCAGCATAGAATGTCAGGACAAGTGTCCAGCCAGGACGGTTTCCCTAATGTTATACTTCCAGTTCTTGTTACTTGCCTCCCAAAATAGAAATTCCTAAGAAAGCCTCCTAGTTTGTATTCCTCCAGGCCCCATTCTCCCTGTTACTGCTGCCTTTCCTAGGAGGAAGATCAGGTAGGAAACAGGGCTTCACCATCCTGCAGGCAAGGTGGATCCTACCTGAGTAAGACCAGAGCATCCCTGTGCAAACCCAGTAATGGGTAAGCACAGCATGGCTGAGCCTGCCCAGCCTCAGGGGCCCTACTTTCCAAGACCAGGAGAGCAGATGATCTATCCAGACCCTGACTGACCCATCCCCTCTGCCTCTCAGAATCCAGACTCAGCCATTGGCTTCCTCTGCCTCATCTGCTTCCCCAGTGAGTGTTTGTGAAGCACTTGCTTAAATACATATCACGTGTTTTAGACGCGAAGCTCAAAGCACTGGATTATGGTCCCTATCCTGTCCCCACCCCCACCCCACCCCCACCCCGTCTCCCTGCCCAAGTGACTGAAACCTACTGAGCGGTTCACTGTGCTGTTCCAGGTAGGGAAGAGGAGGCCCCCTGTGCTACTGCTAGGACAGGAGGGTGGGGAACCTGGGATGGACGGCACTCCCTCTTGCCAGCGGATGCTGGGACACTCCTGTCCACAGAGATCAGCAGGGTATCAAAAGCCATGAAAACTGTCTCTGTAGCCTTGAGCGATACTGTGACAAGACATTATTGCATTATTCCCAGATAAGTTCTTTTCTCCATTCCAGTCATTGTTTAATTTCTGTCACCAATTCATATCACCACTTCCAGGAGGGAAAAGGTTGAGTCCAGAAAGGCAGCTTGAATTTCTAGATGTGTGATTCACTTGCAAACGGAGGAAGCTGGGGATTTTCTTTGGTGCCTCCAGCAACACCGCTACTCTCTTCAGCATGGGTGAAGCGGGCCCTGGTGTCAGAATATGTAACTTAAAGCCTGTGCGTGTGCATGTGCACAAACGTGTGTGTGTGTGTGTGTGCGCGTGCATGCATGTGTGTGTCTGCGTTTGCGTGTGTGAGTGTGTGTGTGTGTACTTTGAACCAATAGTATATAAATATAAATATATATATATATATCCCTGACACCTGCGAGAATCTCGAACCTGTACGAGTGTTGCCATTGTTACATTCAGATCTGATTCAGTTTGTTTCTGTTTTTGTTTTGTTTTGTTTTTTTCCTTTTAGAACTATATAGTGTTGAGAAAGAAATCAAATGTAAATGTCCGGTTTTCATATAATGTTAAAAAATTAAAAACCATTGAGGAGGAGGCTGGTGTCTGCCTTGCCCCTTCCTTGTAAATTGCTGTTGTGTTAATAAGCTGTGCATGGCTCGTGTTTAGCGGTCATTATTGTGTCTGTTTGTGAAATTTTTATTACGAGGAGAATCCCGTAGATGCACTTATTGAATATGTGATTAGGGTCTGAGTCAAGGCCAGGAGGCCCGAAATGCCCATGAAAATGGACCACAGTTCCTGATGACTATGGAAACCGCCGTGGGAGAATCATGAATTAAGAAGACACGACGTAGCGAATAGTCAAAAGTGATTTTTGCAGATCTCATTCTGAGGCTTGTGGCAAAGACAAACGTACTTGTGTAGAGAGTTCTGTAAGGTAAAAGCCAGGAGAGGCTGGCTTTGAGGTCAATGCTGTAGAATAGGACTGACTGGATACCAAATGTAATCTTTCCAATGCTACAATGAATTTATACATGAGATTGATATGCAATAAATCTGTGTGTTTTTCTAAGTCTCATTGAAAACTTCATTAAGGGGAAGCCTGGCCTCTGGAGTGGGATGGGGGGGTGACCCCCAAAGCCTAGACTGAGTGGGTCCAGGTACTAGGCAAAGCCACCCTCTCCACCAGATCAGAGACCCTGGCAGTGTTCACTCACCTTGCATTACACTCAGGTAGGCCTGGAGCTGCCCCAGTAGATGAACAAGGTTGAGCAAAGACCCTAGGGTTACTGGGGAGTGGACTTGGCTTTCCCCAGGGGCCTCTGCTATGGAGGCCCAGGGATGTCCCTCTCTCTGCAGTCTACTGCCTCCAGCATCTGATCCCCAACTTGATTCTGATCTGATGGAGAAGCCTGCAGTGAATAAACCTGAAGAGATGAGTGCCCGTAGGCTAAGCTTAGACGTCCAGCTGTAGCTCATCATGCACTGCTGTTCTACCTCGTAAGGCTGACGCTCACTCACTTCTTAGGTGAGCAGTCTTGCCTCCCACTGCCCACCTCTGCCCAGGGTCCCTGAGTTTCTCCTTGGCTCTGCTTTGCCACCTCCTCTTTGCCCCAGGTGAGTTACCCATTCTCTTTTTCTTTTCTTCCACAGCAGGTATGACTGGTTTGGGGCAGTAGTGCCGAGCAGTAAATGATTTTGCTGCAGAACTGAGGTTCCTGCCTTCCAACAGCCATCAGGGATGACCTCTTAAGAGGACTTGTCTGGGGCTGCTGAGAGAGCTCAGAGGTAAGGTTGCTTGCCACAAAGCCCGATGACCTGAGTTTGGTCCCTGGGGACCCTCAGGGTAGCAGGAGAGAACTGAGCCCCTCAAGTCTCCTCTGACCTCCATACACATGCATGGCATGCACACACACATGCACACAAAAATGTTGCTTATTAAAAAGACTCTGTTCTGAGTGGCCTGGGCTAATGAAGTTGACCTTGGGCATGCCTGACACTTGCTCTCAGGAGCTTTAAGAGATGGGCTGTCTCATCCACTACTGGAGCCACCCTTTGACCTCCCAGGACTCTTTGCCGCCTGTCTCCTTTTTTCTGCCTCCTGTCTTCAGCTGCCTCACTACTCATTCCAGCCACTGACCCTGCCTTTGGCTTCTCCTCTTCCATCCGACTGCAGTGATGGGGCACACGGTCCTCCCACCTCCCACCCAGACCCACCCAGTCGCCATCCTTCCCAAGTATTACACCAATACACTGCTGGACACAAGGCAGCTATCTAGACCACATTCAACAGTTTAGAAGTACTTGTAGGTGATTAGGCCCCAAGACACAGAGGACATCCTGACTCCAACAGCATCCTCTGCTCTGGGAGAGGGTCTTCAATGCAGCTGTTGGTGTCTGGAGCAGACTGGATGCAACCAGTAGATGGGTGAGTGGGTGGTGGAGTGAATGAATTGGTGGATGGAGGAGTGAATGGATTCTGGGTCGAGGAGTTAATGGACAGGTGGATGAAGGCATTAATGGAATGTAGGTGGATGAGTGAATAGATGGTGGGTGCAGGAATAGAAAGAACAGGAGAGTAGAAAGTGGATGGCTGATGGATGGAGGAGTGAATGGATGGGTGGGTGGGGGAGTGGGTGGATGGGTGGGTGGAGTGGGTGGATGGGTGGTTGGAGGATTGGGTGGATGGGTGGGTGGAGGATTGGATTGGATGGGTGGGTGGAGGAGTGAATGGATGGATGGGTGGAGGAGTGAATGAATACTGGGTGGAGGAGTGACTGGTTTGCTCTTTGAACCATCACTGAACAGGGATTCTGGGACTTCCTGGACCTCCAAAAGTTCTCCCAGGGGCCAGGACATGCTCTGATGAATGTCATCAGGAGTAGGGTTCTGAGTCTCTCTAATCAGCAGTTCCTTGTAGCTGCCAGAAGAGAAGAAATGGAAGTTGATCTTGGCATAAGATCTCGGGCCCAGATCTGGGGTGCCGAGCCCTTATATTTTCTTAACACCATCAAGTCGAGTACGGGTACGGGTTGGGGGTAAGGGGTGGCAGTGCTAAATGTTTCAGGTTGTTTTCCTTCCCACCATGATTGACGAAGTGCCAGTGAGATCTTAAGCCTGGATGGTCAGCTTTGGGGCTTGCCCAGGAGCCTGAGGCCCAGGGTGGCTTGAGAGGTTCTGCTTTGGGAAGTACATTTCCGTTCTCCGTGAATCACAAAGCTGACTGAAGGCCACACTCCCGAAAGTGGTTCTCCCAAATGGCATGACAGTGACCCACAGATCCCCCATAATGGTGCTTCCCAGAGCTCACCACACTGGGGCTCCAGTGGAGTGAAAACTGTCCCGTTTGTCCAACCTGGCAGCCTTGCTCCTCATTAGCCCGGGAGAGAGAGGAAAACTCCGTGGAATCGGAGAGGGGCCGATAATGGCTGTATTGTTGAGAGAACCCCAGAGGGAAAGGGAACAGCGGCTGACAGAAGATTACTGACAAGTGGACTTTGTCTTCTCGCAGCCCAGTCCCCACATAAAAGACTGAGGAAAAAGGCCCCATTTTGGAAAAGGGGGATGGGGGTATTAAGAGGAGAAAAAATGTGTCAAAGAAGAATCTGTTTTCTGGGAAGAGAGGGGCTTTTCATTCCCGTTCAGCTTCCCTCTGGGCCAAGGAACTGCTGGCCATTTGCAGGGAAACTATTTTAGGGAGTCCTCAATCTTATTTCTCATGCAGAAAAAGTTTTCCACAGCACAAGCTGTGTCATGCTTTGGGGTACAATAGCCAGGGCCGGGGCTGTGTGTTTCTGCAGTTGAGAAAGCAAGGGCCTGCTGTATAGATTGCCCAAGGGGCTCTGGGACACGAGGGGTCCCCAGCCATGAGCCTAGACTGCAACCCTCCTGGGGAAAAGCACATGTTGCCCTGCCAGGCTGGAAAGGCCATTCCACAACTCCATCTACTCCAAAGGCAAAGTGTGGAGGAGAAAGTGGGGGGGGCTAGAACCAGATGCCCCCCATGACCTGACAGGGGAATAGACCCTAGGTGGGCTTTATAGTTCCTGAGTTCCTAACCCCAGCAGGAAGTTAGGAGGTTACAGAAAAACGGAGAGGTGGCAGAGTGGGTCAGGGATCAGGCTTAACAATGTGATGTAATGTGAATCCATCAGCCAAAGCTGTGTGTGCATGACCCCAAGCTCTGTATTCCAGTGTGCTGTGCATGCATGTCCCCAAGCTCTGTCTGAATTCCAGTGTGCTGTGCATGCATGTCCCCAAGCTCTGCAGTGCAGTGTGCTGTGTGTGCATGACCCCAAGCTCTGTATTCCAGCGTGCTGTGCATGCATGTCCCCAAGCTCTGCAGTGCAGTGTGCTGTGTGTGCAGCTCAGTATGCTGTGTGTGCATGACCCCAAGTTCTGTATTCCAGTGTGCTGTGTGTGCATGACCCCAAGCTCTGTATTCCAGTGTGCTGTGCATGCATGACCCCAAGCTCTGCAGTGCAGTGTGCTGTGTGTGCATGACCCCAAACTCAGCAGTACAGTATGCTGTATGTACATGACCTCAAGTTCTGCAGTGCTATGAACTGAACCCAGTTCCTCTGCAAGAGCAACAAGTGCTCTTAACCACTGAGCCATCTCTTCAGCCCCTAGACTATTTTTAGAGCCATTTTAGGCTTACAACAAAGTTCTCAGAAATAACAGAGGTTTAGCTCATACCCATGCCATTCCCTCCCCCATGATGGATATAGGCCCTACCAGTGACCAGTTTGTTACAAACATGAACAAACACTCCCACATTGTCACCTGTCCCTACTGTAGGACCCTGCTGCTAATGTGAGGTCTGTGGACTCTGACATCTATTTCATGGCCAGACCTCCTGTGAACCCTACAACAAGCCCTCTACACAGCCTCCAGTGAACACTGATCTTTCTATTTTCTCTGTAATTCTGCCTTTCAGGTTGTCACAGTGTGCTGTTCATACAGCATGCAGCCATGCAGCCTGGCCTCTTGCACTTAGCAGCATGCACTTAAGTTTCCTTGGTATTGCTGGGCATACACCTTTAATCCCAGCACTTTAGAGGCAGAGGCAGGCAGATCTCTGTGAGTCTGAAGCCAGCCTGGTCTACAGTGTGAGTTCCAAGATAGCCAAGACTACACTGAGAAACCCTATCTCAAAACACCAAAAAAAAAAAAAAAAAAAAAAAGATTCCTTGGTGTTTTCTTATAGCTTGACAGTTCGTGTCTTTTGAGCACTGAATGATATCCCAAACTGGAATATACCACAGTTTACTCAGTCACCCAACTATTGAGGGACATCTTGGCTGCTTCCTATTTGAGCAATTATAAGTAAAGATACTATAAACATCTGAGAACAGGTTTTTGTGTGGATCAAAGTTTCCAATTCCTTTGGGCAAATAATGAGGGTCATGACTGATAGGTCGCACAGTGGGGATATGCTTCCCATCATGGCTGCACAGCTTGGCTTTTATCTGCAGTGTGAGAGTCCCCACTGATCCACACTCTCGCCTTTTGTGGAACATTAATTTGTGTTACATTTGTTTACACTGTGGAACATTTGTTTAATGATGCAAAGATGTGTTGCATTCTTTTATGTTGCATTTGTTTAACTCTGTGAAACTGTGTTACTGTGCCTGTCTAAAATACTTGATTGGTCTAATAAAGAGCTGAACAGCCAATAGCAAGGCAGGAGAAAGGATAGGCGGGGCTGGCAGGCAGAGAGAATGAAATAGGAGAAATCTGGGAGGAGCAAGAGAGGAAGGAGTGAGAAAAGGGGCCAGCCGCCCAGCCGCCCAGCCGCCCAGCCGCACAGCCGCACAGCCAGCCAGGGAGTAAAAGTGAAAGTAAAATATACAGAAGAAAAGAAAAAACCCAGAGGCAAAAGGCAGATGGATAATTTAAGTTAAGAGAAGCTGGCAAGAAACAAGCCAAGCTAAGTCTGGGAATTCATAAGAAATATAAGCCTCCCTGTGTGATTTATTTGGGAGATGGGTAGCAGGCCTCCAAAGAGCGAAGAGTCAAAAAACCAGCCAACAATGCTCTCCAGCACTTAGTTCTGATGGTGCCCCAACTT